AGTGCCACTGCCCAGGCAAAATGTCCCTTCTAGCACACTGTACGGCGTATCCCCGTCTTCCTTAGCCCACTCGGAGCACTAGAACGTTAAACGCCATTTCATTTCATTTCAAGGAGAAAAGATGTGAAGAACGAAGTTGTTGTAACGATTTATAATTGTTAAGAAGATCTTTGAGATATAAGGCGATTCATAGCAATTGACTGAGAGATATGTAAGACATAAAGTTTTCAAATCCATGCGAAAAGAAACTGTGAGTCAGTGAAGTTGTTTTAGGACAGGGGTGATAAGTAAATGATGAGGTAGCTTTATTCTGAATGAGTTTGAGAGGGTATAAGCTTATGTTTTTTGCTTTGTGGAATTTAACTTGAAAGGTTAATAACTCCACGATTTTAGCTCTGGGTTTCCGTATGCAACAACTCTGACCTTTGAAGTATTAACGAATTGTAGATAGATCGTGGTGAGGACAGTAGAAGGCCAAGTTCAATGTGGGTGTATAGAAAGGATTGGGCAGGAAAGAGGTATAATGTCTCTTTGACGCTTTAATATGGTCATACACCTTGCAAACATGGATCACGCGTCAACAATGACCACTCAAAATCCTCTACGTTATGTATATAGAACTTGGCAATCAATAACCCAAATACATCAGCGATTTTCGCTTCTTAGCCCCCGCCTTAGAACTCGTTTCAATCAAATCATAATTATTGCATAATCTATATTAATCGGAGCGCAACACCCAGATCCGTGCCCATTACTCATAGAAGGGGCCCTAGTTTGCTACCTCTGAAAACTACAGGCTAACTTCAGGAGACCAGAAAATCAAGGATGGCGGTCAAAAATGGTCTGAAATTGTGCTTGACAAACATTGTTGGCGAAATGACCCGTGCAATATATACTCTTCAAAAAAAGTAGGGGATATTCAGAAATAACACAAAACTCCGGAAATGCACTGCTGTTTTTATTAGAGGTAACCAGTGTATGTTAATAACAGGCCAATTGCCTACACATGAACATAAACAGTTCATATGGGCGGCTATATTATCTGACGGCTCTATTTCACTCGCAAAGAGATACACTGTCAAAAGTGAAAATGGACGTTTTTGATTTTTGTCTTAATAATGAGTAATTGCTCCACCAATCCTCAGACATTCAGCAATTCGTCGTGGCATGCTCCTAATCAACCGTCCAATCACGATTTGGGGCAATCTGACCCACTCCTCTTGCAGTGCCAAGGCCAATTCTTGCAGTGTTGTTGGTTGACGTTGACGTCGACGAACACGTCTCCCGATCAAATTAAACGTAACACACTAAAGAGTATATAATAAAATAGGCTTTGTTGGTCACCAGACTCATTTTGGACATTTTCGATTCATCTCAGAAACGGTTAATCCAATATGGCGACCAAAATCCAAAATGGTGACATACATTGGCGCGTAACGTGTTCTTAACAATTATTTAAATAAATATCAACTTTTACATAGTAATTTATCAAGTTTCTGTTCGACTGGCTCTTGTCAAACAGCCTTAACACATTGCTGAAAACATGTATGACTATATTAACAACAATCTCTCCTTTGTGGGACAATATTCTTCGACTTTAAAAAAAGCATATTTCTAAAATAATTAACCCAGAAACTATTTCAACTTCGTCAAATTAAAAAATATTTCCAGCTTCATTCCGAATCCCTTTCTACATCGCCTATTTTTCAAACACATATAGATTATTGTGTCCCAATATCTGACCATTGTAACGCTAAATCTTTCTCGACAGAAAATACTGGCTTTAATATAAAATTTAGATGTAAAACATACTGCCAACGTTTACCCTCGACTAGACAAATTGAAAATTCTTACAATAGTAAATCGACATATCTGTAATCAATGTATATTTATCCATAAATAATACCCGGATTACTTATTTGACCTGTTATTTTATAATCATTTAACCATAAACTTACTACTCGCAAGTCAAATATTAATATAGTTAAGAGCAGTATACACTTTAAAGGACACAAACACTAGAATTGTTGCCACTTTTCTGCTATATGACCCGAATAATTTAATCTTTTTAACAGATTTTGTATATTTTTCACTCTATTGTATATTATTGTGGTGTGTTATTTAATTTATCACGCTAAATCTTTTGTATTATATTTTCTAGGAAGGACAGGATGTTAGAAAGGCTATTATAGCCTAATCTTTAACCCTTCTTAAATAAAGTCATTATTATTATTAGTCCAATACCAATAGCAACATACACATGTGATTTGCGGGGGACCAGAAACACGATAACGCCATTTCCATGCTGACAGAACCAATTAGAAAGGAGACAGCGTACTAAAATTGAGCATGTTTTTCGTCACTATAAACCAACTCATAATAACTACCATAAATTAATGTTCCATGCATCCATTAACTTTATCCCTCGTATATCACAGCAAACATAATACATTATAATGCACTATAATATAGTAATGTATTCCGCCGTATGACTCAGAAATCTCAGAAAACGTGTGTCAAGTGTCTAAGAATTTTGAGTCATTAGTCATCTTTCTAATAATAGTTCCCACACATTTAAGGGTCAAATAAACCGAATCTTAAATAATTTTTCATAATGGCTGAATAGATTTCTGTGAAATTTGATAAGGATCACTCGAAGATTGTAAAGATAAGAGTTTATCTGAAATTGAGCAAATTGGTTTTCAACAAAATTTGGTAGGTATGTTGATTGAGTGATGCTTGTTCGGGTTTCTTCAACTGGACAAGAAATGGACCAGTGGTGTGTTGGAAACAGTGTGTGGAGGGGGGGGGGCTGGCTTTTTGATTCTCCTAAAACTCGCCATAAGGCTGCTCCCGCGTAATTTTAGCTGCAATTTATTATGAGTTTATGTGAATCAAGATGAAGCCCCCCCCCCCTCCATTCACAGTGACAAATTCGGCGACGTTCAGAGGTGTGATGATGCCGAGATCATTAGACACCAATCCAATACTCAAGAATAGGACCTACTATTCAGAAATATGAGAAAGAAACATTTCCAATACATGTATTAAAGTCAGATGAAATAAACCTTAATAATGTTTATTTATTTCACTCTATCCCCATGAAATAAATGTCTGGCGTGCCCCCCGCCCCCCAAGATGCCTTTGCATTAAAACTATAAGCTTGGGCAATTTCATTCGGATAAATCTAAACAACCAAAAGCTAAGTAACATTCATGCCGATATTAATCAAAGTTCCTACTTTCAGATAAACACTCTTATCGTTATCATCTTCGGGTGATCCTTACCACATTCACAATTCAGAGAAATCCATTCAGCCAATATGAAAAAGACGCAAATTTCGTAAGATAACTACTACTTCACCATTAAATGTGTTGGAACTTGAGTGTCTATACTCTTTCAAAGACTATGAATGTCCCAATTCTGAAGTGTTCACTATTTGTTTGAGAAAAAAACCTATTCATTGACTTGGAAGCATACAATTTGTATTGTGTACTACACGTTTATCACTAGATCGCCATAGTTTATAGCAAAAAGTTAAAAGAGCTAACTATCAATCCTACATTATGCTTCATTCCACCATCACCTCTAAGGCATGGCTGGAAAGTAGTGAATAGGAAATGTTTGTCTATATGATACACATCCGATACCATATATCTCAGTGTTTAAACAACTTCCCCGTCGGTAACTCCAAATATAACAATGCTTTCAAAATGAATGCGCAAGTCCAACAGATGACTTTAAATACTCAGACACGTATTTTCTGACATTTTCGGGTCATACGGTAGGACAGATATTATAAAGAGCATTATAAAGTATTATGATAACTGTAATAATATGGGCAAATCCACACTACAGTACTGGTACACAGTAATGTGTCCTGCAGTTACTTGTGCAGTTAATAATGTACTCAATAAATAAAAAAAATGGTTCAAAATAGAGTCTTCTTGTTCAGTTTAAATATTTATTTATTGAGTACATTATTAACTCCACAACTAACTGCAGCTGGTAACCAGGACACATAACTGTGGCTTTTGAAGAATAAGATTCGTGGATGTGGATGTCTGGAACAACTTAGAATAGTTATTATTACACGTGTAGGTCTCAATTTTTGTATGCTATCTTCATTCACGTTAGTCCCGTGATCTTGGATATGGCATATTCGCTGTCCACGCCCCCCCCCCCAAATAAACCCTTGAATCGACATTTCACACGTGCATACTACCGCCAATTGGGATTTTTTACGCCATAACGGATTAAACGTTTGTGGCATGAATTGCAAACTATCACAAATGATTCCAGCGACCAACAAAACCTCTCAAATGACATATAACACGGGTCATTTCATCAACAATGTTTGTCAAGGTCAATTCCAGACCATTTTTGGGCGCCATCTTGGATTTTCGGCTCTCCTAAAGTTAGCCCGTAGTTTCAATGAGCAGCGTGTAGTTTACAGAGGTAGCAAATTACAAATATCTTCACTAGGGTCTCATCTACCAGAGACCATCGTCAAACATGTTTGGCGAGAAGTAGACAAGGATCTGGTGGTTGTGTCCCGACTAAATGCATTCATGTTCATAGTTTAAAACAACAGGTCATTGATTGTCTATGTTTAAATAAAGAGCCTTGGGCAAATAGATTTGATTATACAATTATCAAATATCAAGTCGTTGAATTGTCTATTACTTTACATTTAGGAAACGGATGGAAGTGTTACGTGGAATGAATGGTTCGAGATTAAACATACTCTATGTATTGTTTTTGGATACATAAACGCTCGAATGTTTAGGAATTACCAACAGTTTACAGGCCAGGCAACGCGTGGGAATAGTGATTTTCACCAATACTTAAAGATAAGAATACAACTTATATATCAATTTCGGATAAGAATGTCTTACGCAAATTCGAAAAATAAGTTGCTGTTTCAAGTCACTAAAATGTATACAATACTGTACGTATGCAATCATTTTGTGTTATTACGTTTAATGCTTTTGTTTCAGATCACCATGTCTACCTCAGAATACAAGAAGAAAACCACACCCACTGTTACATGCCCACTAATCTTAAAATTACACTGGATTTTAGGGATCCCAAGAAACCCCAAATCACCACCTTGAACCTTGACCTCATTAAGAATAAAAACGTACATGCAAATGTTCCTCTGTACGTCATAGAGGGAAGACATGGAGCACATAAAATCAGTAAATCCAGGTCACCGTTTATACATGTAAGTTTTAAAAATGGAATATTTCATTTTTGTTTGCTCTGATTGATACGTCCATTTTTTTATATTCCAATCTAATTAGAATTATATGCTCGCTTCCTTTCATCTTTATCTTTCTGATTTTCTGGCTACAAAAGAGAAAGGCTGCGGCTGACTCCTGCCGAGTTATGCACGATACATCAGTATATCAATAAAAAGATCAGTTGTTTGTTTGAAAATCTGAGTTTAAACTTTTCAGATTTAAGTAAAACTGGGATTAATAAGATATAAAATACATAATATAACAAAAGAAAAGCGACTTGAAAAACATTTGATTGTAATCAAATTATTTCCATTTTGGGATTGAAGTGAGGCAACTAACGTTTAACTTTAAAATACATTGGACCCGACCTGTCTTATTTCTTTTAGCCATTGATTACCGAAGAACTAGATGCACAAACTTTTGTTTTTGGCAGTTGTTTTCCGTATTAAATGAAATTGAGGATTTTTTATTGGACAATACACAATAATTTTCAATGCCATAGAATCGTGATTATATTTTATTTCATATTCATTTAAATTATTGTGATATTTTGATGCCTTTAAAACGATTAAGTAGATGCAATTGCTTTAATAATAGTAACCTAGCTAGATTTAACTATACTCGGTTTTAATAAACCCTAATATATATAAATAAATGAAAGAAATTTGTGAATATATTATTACATAACAACATAATTTATATATAAACTTACAAATACGTTTTGTTAGCAATATAAACATGGTTAAATATGTTGAAATATAGAATCTCCAGTCCATATGCTGTTTACACGGCGCTAACAAGACATATAAAACTTAAGGCATCGCGACAATTAAGATAAATATCCGGAGCATGTATTTCGGAAATAATTAATGTAAACTTCACAACCTCAAATGATCTTGAACTTTTTTTACGCCCAGAATGCTCATTTAGTAGACCTTTCCATAAATCAGGCCAATAACATAAATAGCGTATATCGATTGACACCTATACTAATCACTGGATGAGAATGTTGATATCTACTACATAAGTATTAGCCATCTATCAAACGTCAACAGTTTGAATGAACGGTGGTGAGCGCATGTAGCCTATGGTCATTACATGTCAAGTTATCATAACACATCATATAACATAAAGTCTTAATTTTATATATTAACCTACATTAATTCTCGGCTCATAATAGTTCATAAATATATTAGTTTTTATACGCCAATATTGTATACGGGAGTATATTGCCCGCCATTTTGTCCGTCCATCTGCCAATTCTTTTAAATTGTCCAATCCAGCTGTATCCAAAGTTATTTGTGTTGATGCAATAAAATAGTTTAAACTAATCACGTTTTTTTTTTAGATTTGTCAAACTTATAAGGTTGAATCATAGTTTTTTGGTTTTTTTTTTTTAACATGCTGGGATTATTCGGCAAAATTCGGGGTTCCGCAATGAGTATTCTGCTACCGTTATCAAGACCGTGTAAAACGCTCCATGGTCCAGATTTTACGAATTCAAACATGGTCGGATTGCTGTAGTTACTACCCCTGTTGCCGAAACCATTTTTTAAACGTGCCACAGGGCAAGTTATGACTGAGTATTACATCTGACCTTATGGGTGTATATCTATCTGGTGCCCAACAATACTAGGATTTGGCTTTTCAGTCATTTGTCTACAAATGTAGGAGTACAAGTACCTTTCAGAAATACTCGTTCTTTTAACTCTACATTTTACAATCGCGTTCCCGTTATGGAACAAATAAATACACGTAGTTCTGTTTAGCTGAATAATAATGGTCGATGCTTTTATAATTTTAGGGTCACGGAGTTTATCAAAGTCCAACACATGGTGGATATTTTACAGTAGATTGTAGGAGAGAGAGAAACGTGCCAAATAATATTTATACAATAGTGCGTAATTGTGTATTTTCTAAACAAAAACATTTAACCCACAGGTCACAAAAAGATTAAATGAAGAATTAATCTCAAACAGTTGACAGATGATATATCTAAAACATCTGAGTTTGTCTTAGATTGCACACTATTCAGTGCACTTATATAAGGAAGGCAATGAGTACATTGCATGTTATTTTTATCAAATGGAAGCTACACCCGCTGTCATCGGATGGCAGAGATTTAAATGAATAAAGCCACCAGCGAGATTTAAAAATTTAACCATAACGAGGATAATCGAGACTAGTGTCAAGTACCGTTGCTACGATAATAAACAATCTACGCTAAATCTTGTCAAATCTTCAAACACTGATAAATTCTCTCAGAATAAAGTAATTTGAACTACTATAGGAACGGTCAGCTCTTTATTCGAATCTTACATAATGCATCTAACTTATATATTACGTTAAATGTTGATCCAATCAACGTAAATTGTAAATTGAAACTGTTGAAATTATGTTTTCTTCGCCCCTTTTACAATCCCAATGGGTTTTATGTGACCCTTAGATACTAGGTCTTATAACTTATTATATTTGTATTATTTAATATTTTAATTGTTAATAACATAATTTAATGTTCACACAGTAAGTTTCATTTATTGTGTTGTTTTTCCTTTTCAGAAAGGGTCGCTGTATTTAAAAAAGCAAAAATTTAGATTAGAACATAGTTTAGAGGGTGTGCATGTGGTACATAATGTAAATATAAACAATTATAAACAATATATATATAAGTTAACACCAGAAGAAGACACACATTCATATGACTTTAAATTAAGTAAGTATATTCAGCTCATATTTTACGGAAAAACATTAAAACTGTGGTAATTGACATTGGATAAACGACGACACAAATCGTCGTCATCACGGAACGTCTTGATGAAATAACCACACATATAAATGAACCGTTTTGTTACGTTTACAGTACTTCAATGTAATTAAAGCTAAATTTCTTTCCATTTACTCTAGTTACGCATTTTGGCCATTTGACAATACCATAATATTTCCTTTAATCTTCATTTCTACCGTTAATAAAATGTCTGGATAATCAAAGGGTTGCAGAAGATTTGTCCTAATTGTATATATCAAGAGTTGTGAAGGGAAGGTTGCGTGGATGTGCCATATAAACAACTGTCTTCAAACTTAAATACAGTTTAGCAAACAACCAAAAATGTGAATTGAGGTGGGGGTGCAGGTGATGTTTTGGGGGTTTTTTTGTGGGGGGGGGGGGGCTATATTGCACCAACTGTGCTGAGATCCACCATTATATCTAAGTTAGCATGTTTGTATACGAAATGCACACTGTCAGTGCAAACACCCAGTAAATACAAAAAAAACATGTTTTTTTTTTAAATACGCAAGAACGCCAGCTATAAACGGCATGTTATACTTCCTTGGAAAAGACGCATTGACATCCGCAGTAAGTCAACATCATTTAGCCTAATATCAACATTAGTTTTATCCATGGATCATATATAAACGTAAGCAAAGTCAGTCTCCGTCTTTTTTATCAATGTAATGTAAACACTTTTTGTAAAAAAATATTTTCTTTTAGCTCAAAGAAAACGAAGAGAAATTTCCAAGTTAAAAAGTAAAAGTCGAGAGAAAAGAAATGTGATCAATGAAATATTTATAGATATTTTAGTAGTAACTGATCATGCTATATATAGAGAGTAAGTTTGTCTATTTTAGCAGTTTAATGTAAATCTAATATATTTTAAAAATAATATTATAGGTTTAATCAAATTATAAGATAGGTATATGCACTATTAACATGACACTGTAGCGTTGATATCGTTGACTAAGCAACAAATAACTGTTATAAATGAAAATATAAGACACTAATAGATCAAAGTCGTCAGTTTATATACTTAATGTGTATTAGTTAGTTAAAATTGTTAGTAATCAGGCAGTAGTCATTAAAGATACATTCCCGGGTACAAACTGGGTGATTTGATGATATATATTTGCACTAAAAACATATTCAAACTAATTAATTTATCATAATTTTGCTTCAAATCCTTCTCAAAACATTGCAATTGTCGGGGAATACCCTGGCTATAAAAAATCGATCAAAAGAGGTCATGTTTGTGTCACGTGACTTACCTCTCTCGGTACCTAGCAACCCAAGCGAAGTCGGAGGAGAATTCATGTTGTCTTTAATCGATGACTATTTATTACAAATATCGAAGCCTAATTAAATTTTCGGATTATCCATTGCCCGCGTCTTTTTCCGTGATTTTTATCTCAGAAAGTGTTGTGCGTCTAATTCTTCATAAAGTTTATCAAAATGTACATCAAGCGCTCAATATCCGCGTGCAACCTTCACCGTCATGCGTGCAGACACTCCTAATCGTCGGGCTGTCGATTAGGGAAACCCTTATATTTTTGTCCTGTATGCGCTCCATGAGTGTTTTTCAGGGAATCCAGTATTTTTCTAGTAAGATTGGATATTTCTACTTTCCATATATACCAAAATTGCCATACTTTTATTGGAAATAACCACCCGATAAATACTTTTCTGGGAACGTAGCTTTAAGTAGGTGAAAACTGTGACTATTTAATAATATACACCACTATTGTCCAGGTTTGTGTATTCAGTAGTGATGGATGTTATAAATAATCACGCTTTTACACCAGTAACATCTTTTGCAACTAGTTACACACCTGCTAATTAATGATAACTGTATAATTTCTAACCACTTATATGATTTAATGACATTGTCATTACTAAAAGGCCTAGCGTCATTAGTTAACGGTATCAGCTTACCAGTGTGATGTGTATACCACAGTCAACAATTTATTTATTTGACAATTGACACTCTAGATCTAGATGCATCGGCTAAAATATATTTTTTTGGAAACTTCGCCAAACTTCATTTAACGTAGACCGTAGCCGTAAGAACAGGGTAACATTGAAATAATGTCAATACGTTTTCACCACCGCACATGATTCATTACCCCCTCCCCCACCCCCGGGTCAATGGAACCATAGCACTGAAATCATATTAACGTCAATGATTCTGGGGTAATAGAGGACAGGACCGCCAACCCGTTGTTTCGCACAGGAAACCATACGTGTTGTTCCGTAGTTTGAGGCGATTTTTAGCATCGATATTACACGAGTTTAAATATAAACTGATTATAAGAACGTCATATTTTATTGAGTGAAATTATGTCTAATTACCATTATTATGTAAACGAAACTAATATTCTAATCAATTTTAGATGGTTATCAACAGATAATAATGTAGACGAAAAAGCCAAAGAAGATATAAAAAGATATTTCTCGCATGTAATGAACGGGGTATGTAGACTGATATTGGTAAAAATGCAAGATATTCTGGGAATGAAATGAGAATATGGCTAGCGACCATAGCTGTATATTTAAATTTATATAATTGTAGTATTTATATTAGCAATAATTTGGTATTTAAATCTATTATCTTATGGCTATTTGATATACTGTAAAGAAAACGTTGATGCTGTTCTGTCAAAATCATGTAAATTAATTTTTCACATGGCATTCTATAACCTGTCACGACTTCCAGAATATAGGTGGCAGATTGCTATAATATTATTTTATTTATGATGTCCCGTTATGTATTTATAATAAGGTTTATTAATTTCAGGTTAGTTCAAGATATAAATCTCTAGAATCTACATTTAAAGTAACAATAAGATTAGTGGGTATCATTATAGCAGAGGTAGGTGTCATGTAAATATTGGTGAACAGAATATAGATAACGATTATCTAATTCAAATACCCAGAGGTTCGAAAGGGAGTCAAACTTGAAAATGTACCGATGAATCAGAAAAAAAATGAAGTCATCGTATCCGTATTGGTATGAATACGTGTATATTCGTCATGGTTATGTCATTAATGGCCTGTCAGTTACTATTATTTTATTTTGCTGTATGACTGACAGTGTTTATATCATCTGTCACACGTGTGTTTATTCTTCACAAAAACGCATCATGTGACACTTTATGAAGTGTTTGGAATGATTTGCAGAAAAAAATTATATTGCTCATGTTCTTGGTAAGAATGGTCTAATTACATGGACGTTCCACATTATGTCAATCATTTGATAACAATTATACATAATATGTTGTACTTCCTATCTACGGCCGATCACATATCACATAACAAATAATATCATATTCTTACCAACAGCAATGTACGTTGCAGTGACTATACACTCGATCCATGACTATAATAAGGCCGGGTCGTATCAAATGTCATATAAAACACCCATTTTATATTTGATTTAACGATCCAAACATGAACTTCAAATCCCAGAATTGTATTGGTCCACAGCAAATAATAACGATTGCTGAGGTTTCTAGGGACATTTTTCACCAACCCATAAATTTGGAGTAAGTCTCAACAATATGATTAGAATCCAAAGGGTTGTCAAAAAGAGATCAATTAGGCTATTTTATTTGTTTAGCAGGGGTCTAAATATATTTATGAAATATTCCTCATTACTTGTTCTCTGTTTTGCGCAATCATTTAGGAGCTGGTAGAACAATGGAAGTATAGAAAAATATATAGAAACCATCGACTTTGTATAGATCTTTCACTGATGGGCTTCGAACTCTTCAGCCAGCCCTCGTATATATCTCAATATATCTAACAGTAAGTGAAGGGGGAGATAATTACACAAAACAAAACTACGGACAAGACACAATACGCAGAAATCCCAAACAAACGTACATTAAATGAATGGATCCGGGGGCTAGCCGTAAGCGTCCACTGCACTGCACAGTCCCGCTAAATCGGTCTATAAAATCGGACAATCAATATTCGTGCTATCAATATGTCAACAAAGTTCTCCAATAAAATTTGTAAATTTAATAGTTTATAGTGCGGAGTCATATTTGCGTAGGTGCGAGTTGGATCCGGCGCAGCTATTTAAAATTTGGCCAATCAGCGGTCGCGCTTGCGGGGTTACGGTCAAAAGTTCTGGGGTCAAGTGCCAGGTCATCGCATTTGTAAACAAAGCCATGTGCACGATTTACCTTGCAAATTGCTCGCGGTCGGGACAAACAGAGATCCAATGAACGAAATAAACGTTCCATCCGTGTAGAGAAGTGGTGTAAGAGAGCCCCAAAAGATATTTTGATCACATTGACACAAAATGTGTCAGTCAGTCAGGTTTTTTCGACACTGACCTGGGATATAGGACAGGTCGATTTCACTGGAAAAATGCCTTCATGTCAAAGGAGATTACAAGGAATACAAGGCTACTTACATAACTTACATAACTTAATAAAATAATGATCATGAATAATGTATAGCTCAGATTAAGAATGAAAAAACATATTTTGAAATAAAGGATGAGAACTGTTAAAAAATTGCAGAAATATTAAGAATAAATTCTTAAATAATTTGAACTAGCTCTGAATTGTCAGTGAATAGCCCAGATGGAAGAAATAAAATTTGGCATCTACAATATATAAGCTTACAATAGATAGATGAATTCAAATAACACTTGACTGTAATTAAAAGCAGCCAAATTCCATTTTTATATAGAAAAATGGGTTGTGTCTGCAATTGGGAATGAACCATATTATATATGGTTATGGATATATAAATGTATAGTATATATGGTTATATAGATTTATAAAGTTTATTCACTAAAAATTATATCAAATTTTCTATGGTTATTAATATTTAGAAATATAACTATTATGATTATTGATAAACATACATCTAATTCTTTGTAATACTATAAAACGTTTTGTCAGACAGCGGAAGCAGCGCCATGGACAGAATTGCACAAAGAAAATGTATCTTTAAAATACCAAGTAGACGCCGATACTGTGCTGGAAGCGTTAAAGAAATGGGTGGTTAATACGTCATCTGTACCCGAGCATGACCATGTTATGTTATTTACCGGGTATGTATTCAAATCTCGCTTGTTTTGGGGGGGGGGGGGGTGTTTTTTTTTCTTTCTAATTTTACATTTCTAAGTAAAATCTTTCTTGAAAAGCACACCGAGTAACATTGATGGTGGCTTGTTTTATAACAGCACATTTTGACATTAATATTATATGCTTTGTTTAAATTCTTTTATCTTTATATTTCTACGATGTAAAATAAATATACGTTGTTGTCAAAGTAAGTGTAGCTCGTACCTTAGTGCATTACAACTGATTGCTTTATTGCATTATGTTTAGACACGAATCCCCACCCTCCCAACCTTACTTACTGTAATTTGTTTATTACACGTGATGATTGTAATTTATTTCTTACTCAAAATAACTATAATTAATTGACAATCTTATAGGAACTATAATTCATTTTAATCATAATATATTTGCTTCTTTTAATGGGTATTATATTTTAAAAAAACCCAACAACATAATAATCGTTATTTGGTTGTCATAATAACTATATTGTTTTCAATAACTATGCTTTCTTGTCCATAATAATTATAAATTATCTGTATTAAAAATTATTAAAATGTTTTTACACATAATGACTATGATTTGTTTGTTGCTCATATTGACAATAATTTGTTTGTTACTCATATACATTTTTACTGTTTTTCATTATTTACTCCTATCTACAATTTATAAATAACCCATAACAACCATAATATACTTATGATAATAATAATTTGGTTTGTAGATACGATCTGTTTGGTAATGATAATGGGTTTAGATTTAACTATACAACTGGTTTAGCATATATTGGCACTATGTGTCAAGGAGAAGGTAGAAGTGTGTCTATTGTAGAAGACCATGGAGGATTTCAGAGTGTTGGTACAGCTACACACGAGATAGGTCACAGGTAAGAAATATACACCGTGTATTAAATTTACTTACACCAATTTGTCGGCGAAATATATAAATATGTTAAATGATAGGTGTTATATGTAAGTAGTTGAAATAGTAGACAATTCCAGTTGTTCTTTTGTATGTAATTGGCGTTGCTGGTGATGGTCTCTGCAAATTTTTTCAATTATTATTTTTGGTTGAATTTCCGATAAACAAACTCTCATCTCTTCTTAAATACACCTTTCTCTCGTTTTGTGTATTTATTGTTTGTTAACCTTGAAATCCCGAGTTCACACAAGTCTGGAAAACTGTAAAAGCTCTGTTATATTTGAAAATCCCGTAAATGCTAATATCCAGAATGAGTCCAACAACGTTTCAACGTGCTAAAGTTTTAGACTTCAAAGGCGATAAAGGCGAAACGATTTCGGATATTGGGTTTTTAGTTTAAGACAACAATTTTTTTTAATGTTTAATTTTATTGCGCTGTGGAACACTCAGTAGATGCTCACAAGTACACCGATTGAGAATCACTATGGAAGTATAACGTTGCCAATATTATTTCATTGTTCACGGTGCAAACTGCAAATGTCAGTAGTTCAAAATACGTATTTTAGTTTTACAATTTACAATTTCCATTTCTCGACAATACCAATGTCACGGTGTTAAAATACAGAATACACTTTTCAATAATACAAAATACAGTATAATAGTTATTTTGCACATTACACTTCTGCATTCTGCATTTTGCATAATAGACAAATGCTTAATAGAGCCTTGCATAGTAGAACATATACCTTATATGGGATGTACGACGTACGTCATTTACATACGGAAAAAAATCCGGACTATGACGGAAATTAATGATTTACGCGATAAAGCCATAAGGCCGAGGTCATTAGAAGTGAGGGGGGGGGGGCAGTACTCGATTTTGTTAATATTCAACGTCCAGGCTCTATAATGTAATCAGTTCGACGATTAGTGGATTCTGAAAGATAATAGTCTGGTTTAACGAGACAATTCTTATTTGTTCTCATCGGTAAAAAAACAGATATTTCAAGTGAATCAATTTCTTGTTAAAAATTAAATTGAATATCTTATTTAATTGACATGTCTCTAAAACCCTTTTTTTGGGTAAGGTTAAAGAATCTTATAGTATAGTAACCGAGCGGAATCTCTGACCCGTATTCCAGCACCCGGATTCGAAATGAAGTTAGCACACAGTGAGCCTACCCTAACTCGATTCCACCAAAGCTAGTTTAGAAGTTATTGCGTGCGTGTTTACAATAATATATCTCAAAAAGCCAGCATACGAGGCTTCTGGATTTTTGTATTCTAGTAGTTTATTCAACCCTTGACTCTGTGAAATACAAAACAGTTTGCCACCAAAGCTGGTTTGGGTGCTTTTTGATGCAGCGTGGACGTACCCCTTATTTATTGAACCCACGAACCCCGTCTCGAATCCGGGTGCTAGATACTTTTCGGTGGTATATCTCGATACGCCAACATAGAAAGTTAATGAAATTTGGCATGTTCACTTCTTATGCATCTGTCGATTTGGTGAAATAAAGATCTTGGAGCCACCAAATTTAATGTAGAAGTTATTGTGTGCGCAGCAAGCCTACCCTATCCCGATTCCCTCACATATTTAGTACGTTTACGGTAATATATCTCTAAAAGCCAGCATAGGAGGCTTCTGGATTTTTGTATTCTAGTAGTTAATTCATCCCTTGACTCTGTGAAATACAAAACATTTTGCCACCAAAGCCAGTTTGGAGTGCTTTTTGGTGCAGTGTGGACTTACCCCTTGTTTATTGCACCCGCGAACCCCGCCTCGAATCCAGGTGCTGGGAACTTTGCGGTGATAGAACTCGATACGCCAACATAGAAAGTAAATGAAAATTGGCCTGTTCATATCTTATCCACCCGTGGATTTGGTGAAATAAAGATCTTGGAGCCACCAAAGCTATTTTATAAGTTATTGCGTGCGCGATGAGCCTACCCTTACCCGATCCCCCCATGGTTTTAGTATGTTTACGGTGAAATTTCTCTAAAAGCCAGCTTAGGAAGCTTCTGAAAATTTGTATTCTAGTAGATTATTCATCCCTTGATTCCATGAAACAAAAAAAACCATTTTGCCATCAAAGCTGGTTTCGGTGCGTTTTGATGCAGCGTGGGCGTACCCCTTTTCTGTGTATTCAGTTAGCCTAGTGTGCGATATTTTAGTATGTTTACGGTAATAGTATTTTTTTTTCATGAGGGAGGGAGGAGGGGAGGGGGGTCTATTACATATATACTTTGCATTAATATGTCGTTTTCTAATATAAAGGTAACAATTATTTTCGTGATAATTATATCTAGGTTTTTATTGGCGCTAGGAATATGTGTGCTAACTTCATTTCGTATCCAGGTGACTTGACGGCTTTACCGCTTTACTGCCCCCCCCCCCCCCCACTTCTAATGACCTCGGCCTTATGGCTTTATCGCGTAAATCATTAATTTCCGTCATAGTCCGGACTTTTTTCCGTATGCAAATGACGTTCGTCGTAGATCCCATATAAGGTATATGTTCTACTATGCAAGGTTCTATTATGCATTTGTCTATTATGCAAAATGCAGAATGCAGAAGTGTAATGTGCAAAATAACTATTCTACTGTATTTTGTATTATTGAAAAGTGTATTCTGTATTTTAACACCATGGCATTGGTATTGTTGAGCAATGGAAATTGCAAATTGTAAAACTAAAATACGTATTTTGAACTACTGACATTTGCAGTTTGCACCGTGAACAATGAAATAATATTGGCAACGTTATACTTCCATAAATCACTGCTCTAGAGGATGGGTCATGATCGGCCAAATATCAGACATTATTCGCATAAAGTGGAGGATTTAGATATTTATGAAGGTAACTAGGTCAAACGACAAAACGTATAACATGGTTGCTGACTGATTGGTTTAAAGCTGTCACAAAGATATTTTTTTTAATGTTTCAGTCTTGGTGCAGATCATGACGGCACCAACAACACATGTTCCTCTAATGATAGATATATAATGGCTGGTCAATCATTTAACGAAACCAAATACAACGCTTATAATCCCTGGACCTTTTCTAGATGTTCGATAGATTATTTTACTAATTATGTTAATTCAATAAGCGACTCCATGTAAGTAAACTTACTTTCTGACAAGCTTGAATTGGACTAAATTTCACTATGTTTAAGGTTTGACTTTCACTAATGTAAGGGTTGACTTAGGCTAAATTTCGCTATGTTTAAGGATTGACTTGTGCGAAATTTCACTATGTTTAAGGATTGAGTTGTGCTAAATTTCACCATGTTTAAGGGTTGACCTGGGCTAAATCCCCCCCCCCCCCATTTGTACTAGTTGACTGAGTTGACACAGATACACATCAGTAAAATGAATTCCGATTGGTATTACAAATGATAATCAAGAAAAAAAATAGACCATAATATTACGTTAGTCATGAAATAACCTAGTTATGTTGAGTGGACGTTAAACCTCGTCATTGTGACGTTCAGTTGAGAGGTGTTTATGTACTATATTTTGACATATCTGTAACGTTTCGTCAATATTTTAGAGAGCAAAGGCAGTGTTTAATTTATAAAATACCAGTAGATCGTAGCTTACCAGATGTATCAGATGAGATGCCTGGACAAGAATTTGGTCCTGATCAACAATGTAGAAATATATATGGAAACACATCATATTTATGTAGAGTAAGCCTATTCAATTATTGAAATTGCATGCAAGTAGTAACAACTGATGGGATTTCTATATCTTAAATTCTTTGACATATTATTATCTCCCCCTTGGATAATCTCAGTTAGTTGTGCGCGCACATAAACACCATGTGATGACACCGGGAGAGCTGTCATCTTGTTTTCAGAAAACAGATTAAGCGCAAATACTATTTATAATTTTAAACTGTTTCAGTTGATAAATAGAAAGAATGTTTAAATCGAGAGATTATTGGCTATCACTTAGTTCAAAGTGTTGACATATGCAATAGATCCTTAGACCTTATATATATGTTTAAGGTCGCATTTAACTTTTAATTGATCAAAAATATTAATATTCAATGTTTAACCAACTATATTTAATTTTATGTGTTTGGGACTTAATTTTTATATCTGAGAAAATATTTCATGTATCAAAAGTTTCGAATAGATGCAGGTTGTTCATTGTTCGTTCAATTATATGAATTTCAAAACAATCTGTATACAATAATGGCGGACAGGACCAAAATATCTAAACGTAACATGCAAATAATGATGATCCCATCATGTTCAAATTTTGAAAGTCCTGATCAACTGGCGTATCTTTCTGACAATTCATTGAATAATGGGAGAGCTTACATTTCTGTTGGAATATCTGTCTTTCTTCGAAATCGACATCCCAAAACATTTTTTTTCTCCCTTTACTGGGGTTGCTTTGTAAATATTAATGTATATTTCCCAACATAGCGTAAGGCGCTGAATGGGTGCGACTTTTTGTATATGTTTTGCTAATAATTCTTTATTACAGGGTAGTTCGTTTGGTGATTCTGATTCTGTTTGTAAAGCTATGTTTTGTAGAAATCCTCTTACAACTAGGAAGTGTGTACTGCATAGTGCTGCTGAGGGGACATCTTGTGGTGATAAAAAGGTAACGGTCGCTTTAAAGAATAAAGTTAGAGAATGTAAATTGATTTTTGTTGAAATAATGACACGAGTTATGATAAACACATCACATTGTGGACAATTGTGTCTATTTTAAGTTGTGCTAATTGTCACTGGGTGTACCTCATTGACAATGTCATTATCAATAATAATAAAACTGTTTATTAAGGATTTTTATTATTTTACAGTGGTGTTCCCAAGGCCACTGTCTGTATTCAGATCGTGCTCCGGCTCGTAAAGGTAAAACTATTTATTTGTGTGACCTGTTTAGTACTTATTTTAGAGAACAGTATTGTTCTTCCACCTATTATAATTTCATTTAGGAAAATAATTTATCGATAGTGTCAACACCTTTATACTCAAATTATAAATTGTATTGGACATAGGCTGATACAAGTGGGTTTAAAGATGCATTCACACTAAAGTATTTATAGGGTAGTTATTTCCATTAACCATTATTATGGCATATTTGGTATAGAAAACTATTGGTTTCACTGATAAACATCCATGTAAAAGGGTATTACTAACCGACAGCCTATCCGTTTGTTGTCTACTTATGACGTAAGGCGTCCTTGGTGCTTGGTACCTGTTGATCAAACTTCAGCGGTTGTTATAACATTGATAGACTTCAACGTACAGCAGACTTTGCGATTAATCAGGGGAAAAGACGGTTGGCAGAGGATCGATATGTATTGTAAATGGACAGTGAGTAACGTAACAAACAAGTCTGCTTAAAATAGACATTTACGGCCTGCAGCACTTTTCTTTAGAGGGATTTGACGTAAAACTTTGATAGACAAATTAGTTTGAATATGTTTTAGTCCAAATATATCATCAAATCACACAGTTTGTACTTGTTAAGGCATCTTTAAGAATGCGAATCATCCCATGACTTATAAATAAAAAAATAGCAAATTTACCCTGTCTAAACGTTCCAGAAGAAAACCCTACGTATCCCAAATAAACAATGCTGGCCTTTGTATTTCTACTATACACGACTCGACTTTTAACCAGTTTTATTCGGAAAAATATATTTGAGTTCCTCATGGCGGTGTGGAAATATTTTACAGTACTGAGGCGGCGACGATTTGATCCCGTACCTTCAAATAAGATCAAACGATCGCTCCTGTGTTTTAGGGAAATGTAAACATAATATATTTCCTATAAAGCTTTTTATATATTATTTGTATATTTTAGAGGGTTGTACGTTTGGTGATCAGACAGGTTTAATATTTAGTGGTAAGACATGTAGCAAGCTATTGGAGGAATCACTGGGTTATTGTTATATTAAGTCATTTTGGGATAGATGTTGTCAGTCATGTTATAAATATCATACTGGTGTTAATGGTAAGTCGATCAAGTGTCAATTCGTTTTGTCTGAACCTGATTAAGAATCGTTTAGTCTGAACCAGATTGAGAACCGTTTTGCCTGAACCAGATTAGACAGCCGCATTGATGAAAACTGATTAGAGGACCATATTGCCATGATCAGATTAAGACCTATAGAACCCCAAAGCATTGAAAATTGTGGGGCCCCAAATTAAAATGTAATTTAAACTTAGTACATATTAAAATGTAGATAGCCTTTTACTAGATTCTATAATCCCAATCGTGGATAGTTTCATTTAATAGCAGATTACTGATTAAAAGGTTAAAACAAGATTGAAAATGATATTTGTTTGTATTTTATTTGGATCAACTGTGCCATTTGCACCATGGTCAATCCTGCAAGGGAAAATATATCCTACCTTGGTGCTTATTTCTTTTTTATCTGAATGGTTAATCTAGGGTCAAGCCGAAACCTTATTATATTAGGGCTAATGGGGGATCCTGATTTTGATACTTTTACAGCACACGATTGGACAGTGCAACGAAATTTTCAGACTCTTTGACATTTACACTTCATGTGTTATTGAAGAGGTATTATCACTTTTATTTTCACCAAACAACATATTAAAAATAAGCCCAAAACTTAAAATGGCTTAAGCTCTTTCGATTGGTAGTCGTTCAAGATTTTTGTTTTTAAAACTTCAGGTTGCGAGTTTGGAGATAAAGTTTTGCATTGTAAAGTGTCTAATTGTGGAGAAACGGTAGCTAATGGTACCTTGTACGATAAAGATTGTTGTGGCACCTGCAAGTATCAGCATACGTCTCCGACAACTACGACAACAGTTGCTACTGCAACAGCTAGAACGTGTAATGATGTAGACAGCATTAATAATGTATCATGTTCCGATTTCTTGAAACTTAAGGGCAGGCGCCAGTGTTACAGATCAGAGGTGTATGAAGCGTGCTGTCAGTCGTGTAATAAAGTCCAACATGGTCTTAAAGGTGGGTTCAAGTTGTTCAAGATATATTTTAGCGAAACAAATGGTGTACATGTACTTCTAAAATCACGTATCCTTATCAGAACTCTGTTATATGCCTGGAAAGAAATGTAAACTGCCAGTTGCCTTGACGTGTGCTTGTTGATCAGTGTGCTAAAGTCTAGGGGTGTCACAGACTCACAGTGGATCACATAAGTGGTTTTATTCAGGACATTTTTAATAAGAAACCTAAAACACTCGGGCATAGAGGGTAATGATTCCCAACGGGCAGGAGAACATTTGAATTTCGGCATACTTTATAGTCTCAACTGGTGGGGAGGGGGCTTAGAAGTGCTCGGAGTAAACTGCCCTGTACACAACATGTACACCACAGACGCAGGAGGTAATGGAAACCAATAGGTCATCATGCTAATTCTTTATCTTTTTTACAAAGCAGATTACCACCCTGCTTACTATACTAAAAAAACTCACAGTGGATCACATAAGTGGTTTTATTCAGGACATTTTTAATAAGAAACCTAAAACACTCGGGCATAGGGGGTAATGATTCCCAACGGGCAGGAGAACATTTGAATTTCGGCATACTTTATAGTCTCAACTGGTGGGGAGGGGGCTTAGAAGTGCTCGGAGTAAACTGCCCTGTACACAACATGTACACCACAGACGCAGGAGGTAATGGAAACCAATAGGTCATCATGCTAATTCTTTATCTTTTTTACAAAGCAGATTACCACCCTGCTTACTATACTAAAAAAACTGGCGGCTTAAACACGTCACTGTATATTGTCGTGCAGCTTGTGAACAATCTGTAATTACTGTTATTACCACAAAATGAATATTATTTACTTTTCAGAATGTACGTATGGTGATAAAGTTCTGGGATGTGACCCGGATAATTGTGGATCAACCTTTGATGATGGTAGTTCTTATGATAAAGATTGTTGTGAATCGTGTATAAGTGATAACGATAAAGGAACAGCTGGGGTTACAGAATGTCGTGATCGTGGCACCGTCAACAAAATGTCTTGCGGAAAGTTCTTGAAAACATACGGCAAATCACACTGCTATATTCCTGATGTTTTCATAAACTGTTGCACGACTTGTTCGTCACTGTCACTCAGTACATCAGGTAAGTTACGGTTTCAACGAACTTTCTGTTTTTGTTAATTTCTTACCAATGAAACTTTTACTTGAATTATCAAATGAAATGAAATGGGTTTAACGTCCTACTGCTCTGCTCCGACTGGGCTGAATTATCAAATGAATTACCTTATTAAATTTTGTTCAAGTAAAGGGAGGCAACTGAATCAATGTATGCAGGATCGACGTGTCTTATACTAACATCTCTGTAAACACTATTGTCTACGGTCTACGAATGTCTAGCAGTTGAAAACTCTTTATATTTGCTCTATTGTCTACAATGTAAATAATTTCCACAACGTACAACTCGGTGTTTGAATGAAGAAAATAGTGTTTTCTCTTCTACCGAATTGGACATTCATGAGAGTAAGCTATATGCTTAACCTTAAAGTCACACAACAAAAATCCGCCTGACAGGTAATGTGCTTGTGGCCAAGAAGAAGAATATGTATATTTATAATGCGCTATACCCCATCCATGAAATGCATGCTCAAAGCGCAACTCAAACGAGTCTCACAAAAATAAGGGTTACTACTCTGGATAAAGTAGCTTGAATAAATAAGTCTTTAGCTGTGCTTTGAAAACAGTTGAAGTTTCTGATTCTCTGATTCTGGATGGTAGTTGATTCCAGAGCCGAGGAACGGTGACATAGAAACTTCTATCACCAAAGCGAACAGTGTCGTTCCAGGTATATCAAGAGTGTTCATATCGTGCGATCGTAAGGAATACTTAGTTTTACTTTTCCCAAAAAGTTCAGATAAATATAGTGGAGCAAGCTAAGTTTGACATTGGTAGACTAATCACACAATTTTATACTGAATTCTAGCTTCTATAGGCAACCAATACCAGGACTTTAATACTGTTGATAATGACGAATATTTTAGAGTTCTTATAATTAAACATACATTATGCAAGAGGTAAATCTGTCTATTGCAGGTCTTTCTTTAGGCCTGAAATGTTATCTAAATTATTAATTAGACATTAATTAACCTATCCAGACCATGATCTACTCTAGATGGCATCGCTAGCATGTGATCCTTAGTGGATTATGTGCCGATTTACTGCATAACTTTCCTTCGCGATTTAACGATTAAATGGATAATCGAGACTATGCTGTTTATCGTACCGACTTTAGTAATGATGATCGAGGCCAGGCGTAAATTTCAATCGCTTAGTTCTCGGTTCATAGTGGACCAATTTGAATGAGATTTTCAGCAAATTGACTTTATATTATCTAGTTTTTAACTATTATAGTGGGAACTGCCAACTCGTTATCGAATCTCCCATAATGTATCTTTAATCTAGCGGCTGTATTCTGCATTTTCTGTAATGTTTGCATACGTTTTGAGGACAGTCCATATACCAAATTGTTGGAATAATCAATTTCGTAAAAGAATTAAAGACTTCACTAACGTTTTAGCAGCATCTTGTGTAATAAAGTGCCGGACGTGTCCAATACATCTGTGATAATAGCAGATGCGACACAGATAAACACCTAAATACTTTACATCAGCAGAAAAGTCGATAGCAGAATCATCAATCATCATGCTTTTGTGCGTTATGTAGCCTAGTTTGTTTGAGTTTATTGTGAATCATCCAAGATTTTATAGACTGTGAACACATTGCCTTACGATTAAATGATTCATTACTTTGAAAGTAGTTGCGTGCAATCAGCATATGCAGAATGATTGATGTAATGTTGTTGAATGATATTACCCAGGCATGTTGTTTATAAAATGAATAACACAGGACCCAGCATTGATCCCTGGGGCACTCCACAAGATAATAATAATTTATCAGACCGTTCATTGTCAACGATAACATATTGAAATCTGTTGCATGCATAGGATGCAAACCAAGCAAGCGCGGTACCAGTAATATTGAATTCATTTTGAAGTCGTTGCAGCATAACATTATGAGCAATGGTGTCAAATGCTGCCGATAGATCCAGTAGGATCAGTGAAGCAATTTCACCGGCATCCACATAATATCTTAGATCAATGACTACTTTAGTAAGCGTTGTCTTCGTACTGTGTTTGAGTCGATACGCAGATTGAAACGTATTCAAAAGATCATGTGCTGACGTAAAGAAACGTAATCAAATATTAACAGCTTTTCCCAGGATTTTTGACAGGAAGCACATGTTCGAAACTGGACGAGATTCTTTCTTTATTAGTGGTTTTACTATGACATGTTTGAATATGTCTAAAACAATTCGACTAACAAGACTCTTGTTTAGGGTCTAGAGAGCGTTTTTTTTATTATTATTTGATTATTTCATTGATATCACTATCACAGAAAGACTCAAAGTTCTATAGCAATATACTGGACTAAATAAATTGAAAAAGTATTAGCCAGTTGAGATTTATTATCCGAATCAGGTAGTTTTGTGACTGGTTTCTTTCCCACGAGCGAAATAAGAAAACTATAAAATTGTTTCGGTTTGCTTCCGCAGGTCTTACAGTAATAAATTTTAACTTGCTTGATAACATATTTTACATGGTTTCGAGCAGACTTGTATATTTGGCGATGGATCTCCAATTCGATTGACGCCATTGTCGTTTCGATCGTGTCGTTCCAGATTTGCCTCATATATTTTGTCATCATACCATGGTGAACACGGTCGAATGACAATTTCTTTACTGAATAAAGGTACATGCGCGTCAAGTAGATAGCTAAGGTCGTTCAGATCATCAGTGGGAGGTGGGGGGGGGGGGTAAATATTAGATAAGATTATATGAGGTCAGTCCTAATTTGTTCTTTGTTAATAGTATTATAATTTCTACAAGTTTCAGAAACACGTTCAGATTTAGGTTTAGTCATATCCCAGAATCTATATTAAAGTCTCCCAGAAACACTGTATTTGTTTTGTGAATACTCAGCAGGGTCAGTAATTCATCGTTGAAATCAAAAACAGTTAATTTATTCTTGCTTGGTGGTGGCGGACGATAAATACATACAACGTAAATATATTTATTATTTGACTTAGAAATTTAGTGACTCAAAACTTTTAAAGGCACCAAACTTCAATATTCTGAGAATTGTGAAAGATAATTGCTATTCTGCTGCCTGATAATGATGTAGAGTAACCACTTGGTGTCAGTTCAGAAATCTAGTGACTCAAAACTTTTAAAGGCACCAAACTTCAATATTCTGAGAATTGTGAAAGATAATTGCTATTCTGCTGCCTGATAATGATGTAGAGTAACCACTTGGTGTCAGTTCAGAAATCTTGGCTTCATCACCCTATCCCTTTAATCATGTTTTAGTGCGAAACAATATGTCAAATTGTTCTTCGGTTATTGCTTTGTTGCGACTGGATTAACTGTTCAGAAATCCAACCTTTAGGTATTTTAACACATGTTTGTGGTGAACTTTAGTCAAATTATCCTCTGATTGTTTGGGAATTGGAACGTTACTAGTTTGTTTCCTTGTGTAAGACCGATTTCATCGAAAACGTTTAAGGATTTTAAAACCTGTAAGATTACATAAAAGATTGTGGTGACAGATTATTTCTGCATTCATTATAACTGAGAAGTTATTGTCTTGAGTAAGTTGTCATCTCGTGATTGAACCAGGTACACGGCACTAGCCCTATAGAATACTAGATGAGCGGTGATGTTTAGTTAACACACCAAACGATAATCCACTGAGATAATCACACCATCAGATGACCAACCTTTACTTGAAATAGATTTTGCAAACTTTCGAAGATCCACACAATTCATAATATCTTCCAGATCAGCATATATTACATATACATACGGTGTTACTAAAGATATCTTGTTCCGAAAAGTTGACAAATGCAATTATAAGCGAGAGCTCCGCTGATAACTCATGACAAAAAGTAAAAATATATATCCAACTTGAATGACCTAAGCCACCGTTCTGTCGAAATAACTTAGGACAAAAAGGTACAACTGCTCAAGATGGGAAAATGTACATTTCTTCTTGAGAACTAAGTACGACCATAGCAAACTGACTAGATTGCACCATTCTGAGCCCACCCCACCCCCGTCCCCGTCCCCGTGTAATTTCTAATTTAAGACAATGTATAAACCAATTTCTTTATTTGTTCACTGTGAATTTTAATTCTATTTCATGTTTTTTTCTTTCTATTATTAAGAACAAAATGTCTTCCTCATTGAGGCATTACATGTTAAGCATGAACATCGAACAAATTTAGAAATGTGACATTACTACCCGGCAACCATCATTATGAAGTCGGTATTATTATCGATCATAGTCTACAGTCTGGTGTAATGTAATAAGATAAAGCAGAATAGAAATAGATAATATAACTGCACTTCTCTTTTCAGCGTGTAACTATGGTGATAGAGATGAAGACAGGTGTAAAAAATATATAGCAACTATTACAAATGGTGTCTGTGACGATAAGTACAAGAATCTATGTTGTCATTCTTGTAGACAACTAGCCACATATAAACAACCACAAGCGACCACACGACGGCCCATCGCACACCATCCAACATCTTACACTCCGGCCACTTATCAAGTATCTATATCCATATATTGTATAATAAATGCTAATATTTTATTGTATTTTTTTTAATTGAGTGAAACAAAATGGGGCTCAAACATCTTAGACAATCTTTTGGTTATAAAATAGTAAATCAAAATACGGCCTATCATAAATGTAGCCAAAACAGTATTGGAAAATCTGATCTCTACATTCGGTCTCCTACTGCTATATAACGGATTCTGCGCCGTGATCGAAGTTTGTCTGCGATATCACTATTGTAAGAACAAAACCGGGTATAAAAGAAAATGGATCGCAGTAGAATAAATCTTATAGTGCTTGTCATGTACGTTGAACCTCTTTAGATTGGGTAATATTAGGATTGTTAAGTTTCTGTTGTCATATTATCTACCATATTCCTGAAGCAATGGCCCGAGAAATCCCTCTCTAGCCATTGCTGTATTGAGACTGAAAACTTGAGTCTTTGACGGAGCGTGTCCATTTTCATCGTCCAGTCAAATCTCCCCTGGGTAAATTATAGGGAATTGTCATGACTAATTGTTAGTGCTGATTTAAAGTAAACATTATTTACCATTGGATGCATCGGGAAGAAACATCGATACTTACATAGGTAAATTTGGTCGTCGCTGAAACTCGCTATTGGAACGAAATTTTTTTGACTCAAATCTCCGATATAAATTCTATAAACGTGTACCAATGATTACTGCTTACCTTTAAAAATTCGACAATATTTATCCATTTTTGTGAAGAAAAGCCATGAATTATTTATTTTATCAAAAAAGCACATGCCGTATTTCTATCCCGTTTGTTGAAACACAATACGCAACATGACAGCCCTTCTCTTTGATTTGCTGTGTGGTCCAAGAGATGATAAAAAGACGCCACGTGTGCGGCGATTACCAAATGTTTGCATTATAGCTATTTTGGATAGCCTCGTTTATCACACAATTAGTTTCTCTGCAATATTCTGTTATGTACTAGTTAATTGAGCGTAATACACTTCGCGCGTTCTGACGTAATGTAGCTGCGTTTGTCACCAGAGTGTGGCAGTGTTTGAGTGGGATTAGGTCTAGAATCAAACGAAACATTGCGAGGAATATGATTAATACCGGTAATTCATAATTTATAAACATATTATTTCTATACCTAAATTATTTTATAGATATGATCGATTACAACAGGCCCGTGTGTCTCATTCTATTTAAACGGGCGGGTACATATATTTTGGAAGAATTCCCGCCAAAAAATCATTTTATTATGTATGCCATTTACTGTGATAGCGTTAAGTAATTGGAAGCTCATATTTAAATATTAATGCAAATTTGGTAGCACCTGTCAAAACTAACCGTCCATTTGGCTTCTACAGAGTATGATGTACCAATATTGACTGATATTATTAATTAATGCATGCCATAAATCTTGCATGTCTAATAGTACCAGCCCTTCTCTGTAGACTTCTGATTGGTCTACTTTCAGTTTTTGACTCTACAAGTTAGCAAAGCAATGGTACAGCCACTTCCTCAAGTTCGGCAAGTGCCCTTCAACTTTTATGGTTTAATATATTTTATGGGAACTCTGCCCTATGTCAATTATTATCAAACAATACATGAAGTTTTACATATTATGAATTATATATGATTTGACAGAAAAATATATACATGGCGATATAATTGTTTCTAATTAGATCCAATACGCGTGAGTGCTTTAGATGTTTTGTACTTGATGTTTAGGGTTCGAAAGAATCCGCAAGAGTGAAATGTGTTTGCAGTATAGGATTCAATTTGTAGAAAATGTGATTTTTATGGCTTTATGTCAAACATATTCACGTATATTATAATATACATACATAATTTTAATATGTGTCCATATATGATCGCAATGTGAAGGCAAGAATCAACTAAATGCTTCGCTCTTGTTACAACAGTCAGGAGTTCGTGCAGGTGCACACCAACACGTAGTCAAGACCTTGGTTTTTCGTCCCATTCGAACGACTGGACGATATTCCTTGCCAGACGAAACACCATGCTGATAAATTCTGACAAACTTACTCGGCTAACACTGGAATAGAACACAGGATCAATAAGTATTAGAAACGATGATATGTATTGTGTTATGTCTGTTATAAAAGTCTCATGTTCACTATTTTATACATTTCAAATCAGTAAAGTTGATCCAAATTCATTTGTGTTTTTGTTGTAAAATTGTATGACTCTCCAGATAAAATGTCGAATTAGTGCAGGTCACCAGGCACATTGATCGACCAGGTATTTTTGATGTCTGGACCAACTAGGGCTCTGTCTGAATTGGGGATAAATCTAGGCTAATTAGCTACCCTGCAAATACATTCGGTCAATGACTTCAAAATGTCCGGTGACCCAAATATCATGGCAATAGCCCTTAATAACCCTTAATGACCCTTGTTAGTCGTGTCACAGTATAGGTGACAAATTTGGTCCCGCTGTATCCAAAAATGACATCGTTGTGTCACATCGAAGGATGATGGAGTATACATTCGAAGAGAAAACACAAGGCTAGTCATTTCTTTTTACTTGCAATTTTTTAATTGCCATGTGCTTGGAAAAGAACAAGATCCTGGATATTAGACATGTATTACTATCATGGATGCTGCTTTGCGATATAACTAGAATAGCGAGAAAATTGGCCATCACATTTGTCCTACATTTTCATATATATATATACTAAACAGCAAAAACAAAACCTCCCAAAAACGTCAGTATGATTTCAAAATCAGAGAGGCACTTCAATCAAATCATTCTAGAAAACGATTTACTAAATGGATCAAAGCAATTTTTTGTGAACAGTATGTTGACACATTAGTGATTAATTCATCACAATTCCAAGACATTACGAGAAGGTTTAGAGTCCGTACACAGTCTATACATCAGTATCTGGTGTGTCCACCGCGAGTGTCAATAACAGCAGCGCAGCGTCTGTATATGGAGTGGACCAGACGATTGATGAACGCCATTGGCACCTGGAACCACATTCTCAGAAAAGCCTGGCGCAATCCACCGGCTGTGTTTGGTCTCGGTACGACGTTATTAAGTTTCCTCTGAATTTCATCCCAAAGATGTTCAACCGGGTTTAAGTCCAGACTAAGGACTGGCCAGTGCATAACGTTGAGACCGTTCTGCTGTAGAAAGACCCGAGTAACTCTGGCGGTATGGTCACAGGCGTTGTTATGCTGGAAAACGTTGTTTCGATGACGTGCGAAATGTGGTATGACGTGGGGTCTGAGAGCTTGATCGATGTAGCACAATGCTGTGATGCCACCTGCTCTCCCTGGCCACGTCAACGCCATATTCTGGCCAAACCATCTGCAGTTGATACTCAGCTGTGAACAGAACAGTACAGTCCTCCATTGTCTGTGTCGCCAGTTCTAGTGTTGTTGGGCAAACTGTAGACGTTCACGTCGATGGCGAGGGTCGAGGATCGAGGATCGGTCCACGGTATGGTCTACGGCAATGGATGTTCTCTCTGGAGAGACGTCGGCGCCTTGTGGTAAAGCTTGATCTACCAGTTCGGGGGCGATCATCCGTGGTGTTGGTGGCCCGAAAGCGTTACTGAAGCCTGTAGATGGTCCGAACATTGACCTGGAAGTGATTGGCAACGGTTTGGGCAGTGTGGCCAGCGTCGAGTCTTCCAAGTCCCTGGTTCCTCTGAGCTGTGAGTTGTGGCATGCTGCTGACGTTGTAGTGTGAATGATTCAACCAGGTATGGGGTGCATTTTTTAGTGCTGGTCCCGGTGAACAGCACGTGCAGCATGAGTTACATAAAAAACATGGAGAACACATTACCATCTCAGAAGTCAGGTTGCGTTTTTGAGAACATTTCCTGGGTTCAATTCTGTGTATGGGAAGGAGCCTTATTGCTCTGGTAAAGTTGGAGATTTGGTCACAAATATACAATAAAAACATTTGGCAAGATTTATGCAATGCGTCTATTCAGAGTAACATACCAACCTGACGTTTCTTTTACTGCTTAGTATATATGAAGATTAATTCTGCGACTTAGTTGTTGGTCCGTTTTTCCAATATATCGTTATACTTGTTCCTTCGATTAAATCATCACATAATTTACATCTTTTGCCGCGCCGCATTTTGAAACATGTAAATTATGCGAAAATGTAATCGAAAGAACCAGTATAACGATCTCCCCAAGTAAAACATTTACAATTAGGCAAAACATGAATTGTTATTCAAAGAATGTGGTGTGTGCTGGATGCGGTGAACGATATATTGGAAAGACCGACCAGAAGTCACAGAATTAATCTTCGTCGCTCTCAAATCAAAATTCCAGAAAATAGAATGATACCCGTGAGTAAACATTTGCATGACACGATTTTGCTTGAAACCAAAGAGGTTAGTTTCATTAAAATGTTCGGAGCAAAACTCAATGCAAAAGGTAATTGACCAAACTTGCCCAACTATTAACTTCTTCCCGGATTACTATACATAACGTCGCTATGACGAGGTTGCTTAGTATTACGTTATCGTTATTGTTAATATTGTTATGTTATGTACTGATGATACCCCTGTGGGGGAAAATATCTGACAGTGATTAAACAGTTAATAATGATATAGTTGTTCAATTCGTACTATTGTTATTTTTTTTTTTTGGGGGGGGGGGGGAAATATTCAATACCGAGAGTTGATATCTGTACTTATATTTATATACATATAAGTGAAGTATTCTGTTAGTTTTTCACAAGAAGGGGGTAGTACATGGTAGGATGGTGTGGTATTGGGCAAATCGTCTCTCCCGAATTCAATATCCTCTATACCAATCAAGCAAAGAGGATGCACAATATATATATTAAAATATACAACAAGCGCATGCGTTGTTATATGAACTGCAAAACAATGGTAGACGCTCAATAATAATTAACGTATTAACTTTATTGTGGGTTTCTTATTGGGCCTATAATTTCCTGATAATTATACAGGTAAAGCTTTTCGATAAAAATATGTTTCGTGAGTGGAATAAAGGACTAGAGAGGGAACACACTTTTATTTAAATCTACTAATATTACAAAATCAAAACACTTTCACGACATTTAGTATTATATAAATACTGAGCAAATTACAGTAACTGCCATTTTAAATATCATGCCCTATTTAACAACTCAAAACAATAAATTGCTATTGATCTTGTTATTTTCCACAGATATAGCAGTAGTTATTATTGACCCTTTCTTCATCGACTAAAGTACGTTTTATCAATCTATACAAATCGTCAGTTTTCTCATCGCGAAGAAACACCGAATGGAGTTTCTTCCCTTTACAGGATTGTATCTAGTCTGTAAAGATATTCTGGTCGTGCTGGACTATCAATCATATCGCAGTCCAGGTGAACATTTAACGGTTGACCTCTCGGTACTGTACGTACCTGTCCCTCCATAATATTACCAGCTGAAATAGATATTTAAATATTAAACAATGTTATACATTTAGATTTCTGATACATACATCTTTATTATTAACAAATCTAGGTCTATGAGAACTAGTTTCAGTTCTATAGAGTATTTAGATAAATTTGCAATTCCATATATTCTTAAAATGCTTTAGCACAAACTAAACCTAGCTATAACACGGTTTGTCTGCGTATTTGAATATAACCTAGGTCTATCTATATCACCTGTGTAATCTCGCAGCTGTATTAAAGAACAATATTGGTGCCAGTCATTATCACATATGTGATGGAACTAGTTAAACACGTTCCAAATATTATTTTATCACAGAGATCATTGCTACGATGGATGAGTAATCAATGTTTCAACAATCGGAAGTGAGGAACGCAAAAGGAAAACACGAGCTATCCTTCTATCTAACTGACTGAAGTGACGAGTGATAACAGATACATGGGCGAATTTCTGCTCACTAATAATTCCTTCGAAGACCAAAAGTTGTTGTGTGAGACTGTGAAAGGATAACTGACAATTCATAAACAATATTGACTATCACTAGATAAGAGAACATGAAAGAAAAATAGAAATGTCCGTGCATTACCATGTTTTTATAAGTATAGAATGAATGAACACACGTGAATGTACGGACTGTTTCTATTTTTCTCGTGTTCTCTTATCTAATGACATTCAATTACTTTTTTGAATTGTCAGTTATCCTTTCAGTCTCACACAACAACTTTTGGTCTTCGATCAGTTATATAGAGGGATAACTAGTGTTTTCCTTTTGCGTTCGTACTTCAGATTGTTGAAACATTGATTACTCATCTATCGTAGCAATGATCTCTGTGATAAAATAATATTTGGAACGTGTTTAACCAGTTCTATCACATATGTGATAATGACTCGTACCAATATTGTCCTTTAACATAAGGTCTGTACATGTAATCTGATTACTGTTATAACATAGACATACCTATAATACGTGTCATCTGGTAACTGTAATAAGGGTCATCAACCACTGGTACTATATAAAAACACATAACGGCATCCGTGGTCACGTTATAGAAAGCGGCTCTTCTGTAAATTAAAATAGCATGTTTAACATGTACCCTGTGGGTTTCTTTAAGTGCAGGGGTAATTTGCTGTAACAAAAATGTTTGCATACTGAAATGTTGAAAACGTTTATTTACTACGATCCTAGCATTAATAGAAAGGATACTGGTCAATTTGGGACAAAAAAGAGAGAAAGGGGGTGGGGTGGGGTGGAGTTTAAAGTCCACTCGACACAGGCTAGATCTTTTCTGGACTAACATATGATACAATTTTGTTTCACAATTCGCCCGTGCGTAGGTGTCTTTAGGTGTCCTTCAAATCAAGTTGAGTATCGAACATGGTTATTCCAATATTATATATTGGGAACCATAACTTTGCATTTCAAAACCTGTTCATTGCTATGTCTGTGTTTACTATCGTTAGTCGGCGTTACATTCGCGACGGCATTGGTTCGGGTCGTGTGCGAGGCAGCATAATATGTATATGAATACCTTCTATATCTTACTATTATGTAGTCTCGGTCACTCAGAACCCCATAGTCAGTGTGGACTGCAAGGGAAGACAACTCTGTTTGGGAGATTGATCCAAACTAATGTTCATAGAATATTTTCTGGATGATAGAGACTAACTATAATGCATTATTACCCTGATAAGATGGTAAGATCAGTGACCTGGCTTGTGACTGTTACATTTGATTCAGTTACACATGCACTTTATAGAATAGATTTTATTTCGTTCTCAAATTGATATAACAACATTTAAAGGCTCGATGAGTCATTTAGCGCTTTAAGAAACCCTTGCAAATTACAGTATTGTGAAGGTTAAAACTCTAATTGGAAAATCAGTTCAAAAATGGTTCAGTGTTCATCGGTAACAGAGAAACCCAATGGACCTAGTTTAAATCCGATTGAATCCAAGCCAGGAGATTATCAAGCACTGGTATTTTTGATTCTGTTTTCTTAATTAAAAGTGAAATACTCAGTCGGAGTACATATTTAGCGTGCATTAAGCCGTGAGAAATTTTATATTTTAACGAAAATGTAAATGCCGCATCCAGCCTTTAATGGGGCATTGTCACTTTCAACAAGAAAATAATGCTATAATAAACCTAGACTTATGATATTATCAGAATAAACGCTAGAATACGATGACCTCCTTTAAGACTAATGAATCAAAAATTGAATTTTAATGTATACCCTATTGAACTTCATAATCAATTCATGTGATATATTTATCAATTGGCGACAATGTCTCTTTATTGAAAATACAGATTACTATCAGGTATGTATAACGCAGGTCAATGGAATAGAATTACAGGTTATTACTGAGCGACGTTTCAACCAATCTTATCAGGCAATGATGTATGTATTAACTATGTGGTTCTTAGAATAAATCATAGTGAAAGTTAAACATGGAACAACCCCAACAAAAACACATTTTCTAGAACATCAAAAATGCTAAGTAATATTCAATTGTCTGATTTAATATTAATTGTTCTTCAGTTTAATATGACACCTTTTGTTTTTCTTTTTTAAATGAAATATATAATCCTAGTGTAATATCCTCTCTTGTCGGGGGCAAGTTAGCTAAGAAAGATCGGAAAATATTAAGTCAATGTTACTAAAATTCTGTGTTTATTAGCTTATAAATACGCAATTAAGTGTCAAGCTTGCTAACAGCATGATCCATCGATAGAAATTAACACATATCAATTCATCATAGTATAATAGCCCACACAATCTTGACGTCACAAAATTCAGGAAAAAGTTTGACGGGATGGTGTGAGTTAAACGGTTCGTACCGTGTTTCACGTGTCTCTTTTTATAACATTTTTAATATTTGATATAAAGGTCAGTAGCATATCTAAATAAATAAAATGCGTGATTGTTAAAAAATACAAATAATAGTAGAACATATGTATAACAAATCCAATTGTTATTTTTCAATAACAACAATGGGATATAGAGATTATATCGTATGATATTAAAGATAACTATGGAATATTATTTCGTGCATTAAAAACAAAACGATTGATCCTTTACGACCCCTGTGAGAATATAAAACTTTTAGTGCATTACTACACGGTAACAAGATTAGTGCTTTCCAATTAGTCCCCCCACCCCGCCCCATAAACACACACACACGGAGCAATTGGGGATAACTAGTAAGCCAAACGTTTTGCCCGGACCACCCCCTAGATCTACATGACAAGATATAGCTGAGATACATAAAATATTATCTTGTGACCTCAGCTCATCACTTTATAAGCCCAGAAATTATCCACCAAGGGTGACGTTCACTTAACTAAAGGTGCGTTCACATTGAAGGGGGGGGGGGCACGATTTCGTCGGCACAGAATCAAAGGCGAATGAGTATGATTACATCAATAAATATGCACATGTTCTTCACTCTCGACGTACTATCGAAAATACATTCCATAACTGAAAAGTAATGAAATGAAATAAAGTTTAACGTCCTACTTTTGTGTTCCGACTGGGCTAATGAAGACGGCCATGCGCCATACAGTGTGCTGTCAGGGAATTTTTGCCCGGAGAGCGGCGCAACGGCCAACTCTTATATCGAATTCCAATCACGTTTCCCACCAAGCGATAAAGCGGGAGTAGAAGTGAACATGCGTACAAAGTTATTCGGTTCCGGTAAACCAGTTGATCTGAATCAAGCGCGCCAAACTCAAATGTTGACTGCGAATAACACGTTATTCAGAATAATTGTTCCAGAATGAATCCTGAAAAATTACCGGACTCGTTATTTCAGATTCAGTTCGGTTTTTAGGGACTTGAGTGGGATGCCTTAATCCGGAATAAGACTTTATTCTGAATTCAGTTCAGATTAAACCCCCAGTGTGAACGCATCTTTAATCAAGGCTAGATAATCTACTGGGATTTAATTGGATTAAACGAGCCAATCAATTAGATTCCGCGAAACATAAAGATGGGGGTAGAATTAAAAAGATCCTGTAACTAGCTACCGTAGTGGGCAAAATGGCGAAAAGTTTAACTTCGAAGACATGTCTTAGAACAGTGTAGATGACAGATTATGTCAAGAAAAAGAAGCGAGAAGAGAAAAAAAATGTACTATTTACATAGGGATCAGCATAGATCGCTGGAATTTCATATCTTTTTAATACTGATCGGAATTGAAATATTTTACTGTAGTTTGGAAGGCATTCATATACCACTCACGTCACGCGCATAGACTTTAACGTTTATTCGGACCCCGACCAATTATCGACGAGAGTTAAAGATAATAGCCGGCAAAATATGGTAGACAGGTTTTTAAATTTCCTTAACTCAACACAAGTTTAATACTAAGCGACGTTTCAACGAGGATACTCTCGTCTTTATCAAGAAAATGATAACTCAATTGTAGGTTCTCGTTAGTAGTGCGTTTTAATTTCTTTCTTTTCGTCTACAAGAAATAAGTATAAACATCGATCATTAGACAAACAGATTTTTGTTTCTTTAAATTTATTTTAAAATATACTAACCTAAATAGATACATATCGCCATCTCTAGTTTCACAGTTCATCGTTAAATGGTTATTATTTAGATAATGTATGGTGATATTACGACGACCCATAGTTAGTGACGATGACTGTCGTAAGGTAAATCCCCATGTACCCAATATACTTCTCGGTAATCTGCATTCATTTCCTGTCAGTGTGGAAATAAAAGCAATGTAGATTCAATATTATGAAACCGTTTAAAGACGTTTTTCAGCCATTGTAAATTGTTTAGATACATGTACAAATCATTTCAGCTTTCATTTAACAAATTAAGACGGCGCATGTTACATTTTAATGCTAGCTATCAGAGACAGCTATAAACAATGCCATCTGCGTGCATCCTCGGTATCCACAGTAGCATCGTACCTTCTACTCCACAGATCGTACATTGGAACAATACCGCTGGGGATACCGAATATGATCTCCGTACTCGGTAAACACGTGACATAATGATACAGTGCTTGCTTATAGCCTTATATATTACAGTGGATGACAGCTACCTTGATAACGTCATAGCCGGCATATTATTAGCTAATTTAAGACGAAACAATTTGTATCGCGTATTGAGCATGACGGAAACTGCGTCAGTACTGTATAATGAATAAAAATATAGAAACTGGAACCGCTTGATTTCTCCTTTAAAATTCTATGATGACATGTAAAATATACCAGCGGCTGCCAGGCAGGATACGCCCACATTTTGCAAGAGATGGATAGAGAACAAGCTAAAAACAAACACGATTTTTTGTACAATCAGGAGCAATAATCCAGAACGTTATATGGCCTGAAATGTGCAAATATCAAAATGGACTGAGATCTTTGGGATATAAAGATATGTTTTAAGTTTCATCAAAATCGGATAAAAATTGTGACCTCTAGAGGGTCCACAACTTTCGTATTACACACTTCTACACAATTTGTAGACAAAGAGCGTCCATTTTGTCGGTCAATTTCATTTTGATTTTCCCGAAATTCGAATTCAACCTGCATTATGGGGGAATGTTTAAACGGTTTTTAAAATCGGAAAAAATGGTGATCTCTAGAGGGTCCACAACATTGATTTACCAGATGTTTACACTATTTGGATACGAGGGGCGGCCATTTTGTCCGGCAGTTTTGGCCCGATTTTCACGAAATTCAGGATGTTACGATCCGATATGCGCGAATATTGAAAGGAACCGAGGTGTTTGGGTTATAAATATGCATTTCAAATTTCATCAAATCGGATCAAAATTGTGGACTCTAGAGGGTCTTTGATATACCAGATGTTTACACTATTAGCGTACGAAGGGCGGCCATTTTGTCCGGCAGTTTTGGTCCAATTTTCATGAAATTCAGACTCAGACAAAAACACAGTGTAACGGTGATATATTCGAACGTTTTTTTTTTAAATCGGATAATTGTAACCTCTAGAGGAACCCACAAGCCTGATACACAATATTTTGACACTATTTGCGAACGAGGGGCGACCATTTTGTCCCGTCATTTTCGGTCCAATTTTTACGAAATTCTTTGGGTGTAACGGTGATATATTCGGAATGTACGGAAATCGACAGGAACCACGATATTTCGGTTATCAACATGCATTTCAAGTTTCATCAAAATCAGATGAAAATTGTGACCTCCAGAGGGTCATCAATCCTGATACACAATATTTTGACACTATTTGCGATCGAGGGGCGGCCATTTTGTCCGTCAGTGTCGGTCTGATTTTTACAAAATTCGAACTCAACCATCCTTAGGGTTTAACGGTGATGTATTCAAACGTTTTTTTTTTTAAATCGGATAATAATTGTGACCTCTAGAGGGACCCACAATCAGGGGCCATACGTACGAATATCGAAATGAACCGAGATCTGTGGGTTATAAACATACATTTCACGTTTAAACCAAATCGGATAAAAATTGTGACCTCTACGGTGTTCACAAGCTAAAAACGTGATTTTTCGTACAATCAGGGGCCATAATCCATTAAGTTACAGTCCGATACATGCCAATATCGAAAGGAACCGAGATCTTAGGGTGATAAACCTATATTTCAAGTGACATTGAAATCGGATAAAAATTGTGACCTCTAGAGTGTTCACAAACAATTGTTGACGGACAGACGTCCGGACAGGGGCGACAACAATATACGTCCACATGAAAATGTGGGCGTATAAAAATGCACGATAATGACAAGATAACATTTACTGCAACACGGTATTCTAAATGTAAATTCTGCATTACAAAAAACTGTGTAACATCTAACTGTCAATTTCATGATAGACTTGGTTTTAAAATTGTAATATGTACCTTTTCTATATATAAACTTTCTTTGTTGACTGACTTCAGCATCACATGTATTGTTAATAGTTATAGATCGTGGATTTCTTACTTCTATAGGACTAAAGATAAACGAATCTCTTCCCCTTTCTGAAATCATAAATTAATTAGGCATTTGATATTACTTTGTGGGAAAGTTGTTTGACTGTTCCTTTTGTGTGGATGCAGATCAGTGATTCTCAACCAGTGTGCCGCGAGATCTTCCTAAGTGTGCCGCGAACTTTTTAACAGCACACTAAGAAAATGCGAAAAACCACGTGATCACAATTGCGTATTCACTGGTGTCTACTGGTAAATTCATTACTGTGTTTTTCTTTATTTAGTTTGAATCCTTCTATGTGTCTTTGACTTGTCTGTGTCCACGGTTGTATGCCGTCTATGACTTGCCATGTTTTTATTTTGCAAATTTCAACTATATATATATATATATACATATATATTTAGTCAGGTGTGCCGCTATTTTTTCTTGTTTTCCAAGGTGTGCCGTTGGCGAAAAAAGGTTGAGAATCACTGATGTAGATGTTAAAGAAGTTAATTGAACATCCTTGTACAAGCTCAAAGGTGGGGACTACAATGGACATGGTTGACCTTAACAATTTATGGAATTTGTTACCGGTATAATGAACCCTAATGTAATAGTTTTGATACTGTTAAATGCATGCGCAAAATAAACTTGGGGTCAAGGGTGACTAGCCCAGTGATTTAAAAACAAAGCTACAACCAAAACATTTGATTTTGTGGGGTTTGTCTAGAAAATCAGTTAAATTGTATATTCCTATATTCAAAACATTTTGTTTCAGAACAAACAGAAAACAGCCAATTTTGTTATTTTATCGTCGATCTTCATTAAAATAATAGGGTCTTATATCAAACCGTCATTCTTGTAACTATTTCACAATTCTTAGAATATGGGTTAATATTTCAGTTGTTGTAATGATGGATGACAATATACACGTGTAGAGAAATCAATCATATTCATTAATAAAACAGATGTCAAAATATAACCTTCTATTCTATACCGGATTCGTTTAATGTCGCCTAGTGTGTGTTTTATACCACATTATGGAGCGTCATAACAAAACAAAACCGGATTTAAGAACAAAATTCTTTGAGGAATAGTTTCACATTTATAATGATTTAGCTATGTAATATTACATTCATTTTATAAGCTGCATTCATAATAACAAGACTTGTCCATTTAATTACATGTACATTTGATGTACATGTACTTGTTTGCTTTCAGGAGTATTTATTTGGTGTACACATTTGTTTGGAGAAGTGTTTTTGGTATATAAAGATGTTGAGAAATAAACTTGTGTTCAACCCACGATATTATTTTTTTCTTTAACAAAATACGAAATTTAAAAATATAAATAGACTGACTTCTACCCAGTTTGTCTAAATGCCAAGTTAAAGTCATGCTAGAACAGCCTTACACAATTAAACGCATATTTAGTTTTTAACAGTTTGGTCAGAAAATTGTTCAAATCGTTGACCTATAACTTAAATTTCTACTGATTTCACACTGCCAAATTAAGTAATATCGTTTTCGTTTTTCGAACGGGCCAACCCATTCTTCGTTAATGTGTTTTCTATGCTCGGGTGTGATTACTAATTAGTTAAATTACATTGTGGGATGCATGTCAACGTTCTCAATAAGTGTTTTACTTGTAATATACTCTTCAAAAAAGTAGGGGATATTCAGAAGCAATACAAGATCTGGGCAATCTGACCCACTCCTCTTGCAGTGCCACTGCCAATTCTTGCAGTGTTGTCGGTTGACGTTGACGTCGGCGAACACGTCTCCCGATCAAATTAAATGTAACACACTAAAGTAAATCGTATGCAAGAACCGATAGGAAAGCAAACATGGATAGGATAAACCAGCAAGCGGCAGTTTTCATCAACCCTTTCTTTGAAGTGTCAGATTTGACAATGAACCCTTCCCACGTGTATGGCGCTATTGCGTGTCGCACATGCAGATCTGTGGTTCTGTTGGGGCGATAAGTTCTTCATCTTTGAACATACTCTCAAAGCATGTCAAGTGTCCATGACTATTTGTCATATAACAACCTGCATAGGTATTTGCATTTCAATATCCCTTACTTTTTTTTGAAGAGTATATAAAGAAGCTTGCCCCCCCCTCCCACACACACCACTAATGAACATAACCTATCAGATCAATTAAACTTAATCAAAGAAGCCCTGTAATCTTCATCTACTGTATACATGTATGAATGGTATATTAATAAATTATTAATCATTCGGGAATTTTCTGAATGATTACTATAATATCCTTTAGAAGTATACAATATGGGATTGTCTTCAATAGTATTCATAATTTGTTACCTAGCGAATACATTTAGTTACAAGAATGGGTCATTGTTCTATACAAAAGTAATAATTCACAAGATGAATATTTAAAGAGAGGCCAATAAACTTCACAATGTGATTACTGGTATAATTAACCTTGTTATCTAAACTAGTATTAAAGTCAAAATGTACGACAAAGGTCAATAAAAACATATTGACATGCCCCTTTTCTTGTGAAAGAGCGAGGACAATTGAGATATTTAAAAGAACTTCATAAAAGGGAAATATTTTACAGATTTCAAAGTTTATTTCAAAATTTCTAAACCGCAGTTTTTGGAGACGTCACCGTCGTCTCCTCTTCACCAATCAAATACATATCACATGCCAAACTGTCAAATTGATTGTCTCATATGCATTTATTAGGTGTTAATAAAACTAAAACAACTTCAATTGCCAAATAATCCGTCCAATTTCAGGGGGAAAGAACGTCAATAAAGTTGTCAACAAATTATCATAGAAGGCGCAGGCAATTAGATTTAGGGGTAAAGCAGGATGATAGTTCGGGGTCGTTGACGTTGACGTAAATTCACGTAATGTCCAATTATAAAAAACGACCTTCTTCAATCTCAATTTCTTCACATTTCCTTCACGTGACGTATTACGTTAAGGGGAGGGATATATACCGATCATTCTTGATACAAGAAACTCTCCCTGTGGATTATCAGCAACATATATAAAACCAATACATAGCGTCTGATTCCTCTTTTGGTGGGCTGTATTTCTGAAGAAAAAACAGAAGTTAATAAATATATAACTAATACTTAAATTCTGGTTCCTATTAGTTGGGTTGTATTTATGAATACAAAAGTATACACAACTGAAATATCAACTATTCTAGGTAATTGTGAATTGTCTTCTAGAAATGACAGGAAGACGGTGGGAGAGAGTCATGTCTGCTACAGTAATACTAAAATAAAAAAATATATGACGTAGACTATCACCACTCTATTGATATTGTTTTTAGTGGTCTATTTTCAGCAAAAATTCTTTTTTTATTGTAGATTTCATACCAAGATGTGATTTATAACACAAATAATAAATTCTGTTGACACAAATATAAATCGTAACATGTATTTTATAGAACTTGATCATCGGGAACGTGTTTTTTTTTTTAAACTGAACCCTGGTTTCTCGAACATTGCATTAAAAGTTAAATTAACAAGAATGTTTTTATTCTAGTAAAACGTAAGTATCTAATTTTATATTTGATTTGTTAGATACAACCAATGTTGAGATGTAATCAATATTGTGTTCAGACAACCAACATTGAAACAGGATCTCGTTCCTTTTAGTGATAACCCTGATAAATTCTTACTAATGTGGGTGCAGTAAAATGAATTCCTATTTAACCAGCGGTTGCCAGGCAAGATAGGCCTACATTTTGCAAGAGATGGATTGAGAACAAGCTAAAAAAAAGGCGATTCTTCGTACAATCAGAGGACATAATCCAGATACCACATACCAGATGCCTGTGTGAAAGGGTTCTGCACGTGCTGTCGCACAACATGCCGGTCTTGTCACCTTGTGGTAACCATTGGTCTACCAGTTCGGGGGCGATCATCCGTGGTGTTAGCGGCCCGAAAGCGTTGCTGAAGCCTGTAAATGGTCCGAACATAGACCTGGAAGTGATTGACAACGGCTTGGGCAGTGTGCCCAGCGTCGAGTCTTCCAAGCACCTGGTTCCGTTGAGCTGTCGTGAATCGTGGCATGCTGCTGACGTTGTAGTGTGAATGATTCAACCAGGTATGGGGTTGCATTTTATAGGGCTGGTCCCGGTGAACAGCACGCGCAGCATGAGTTACATGAAAATCATGGAGAACACATTACCATCTCAGAAGTCAGGTTGCGTTTTTGAGAATATTTCCTTGGTTCAATTCTGTGTTTGAGAAGAAGCCTTATTGCTCAGGTAAAGTTGGAGATTTGGTCACAAATATACAATAAAAACATTTGGCAAGTTTTATGCAATGCGTCTATTCAGAGTAACATACAACCTGACGTTTCTTTTGCGGCTTAGTATTATATAAAAATCTAAATATCGTTACATTATCCCTAAACCCATTTCATATCCACACCTCTACTGAATAATTAAATTGTTTTTTTTTTAAAATTGACAAACTAACTGTTATATTATTATAAAATTACCTCTGTCTTGTTATTTAAATGATTCATTTAGAGAGACAGAAATATAACAAATGTAACAATAAGTTGATAAACATTTTTTTTTTTTTTTTTTTTTTTCCCCCCGCACCCTCCATTTTTTTATTATTATTATTTTTATTTTTTTTGTCATTTTATACATGCATCAGTTCATTTATATCCCATTTATTTTTTTAAAAATTGACAAACTAACTGTTATATTATTATAAAATTACCTCTGTCTTGTTATTTAAATGATTCATTTAGAGAGACAGAAATATAACAAATGTGACAATAAGTTGATAAACATTTTTTTTTTTTTTTTCTTTTTTTTCCCCCGCACCCCCCATTTTTTTATTATTATTATTTTTATTTTTTTTGTCATTTTATACATGCATCAGTTCATTTATATACCATTTATTAAACTTTATTTTTCAATGTTTTAAATATAATTTTATATTCTCTTTATCACCTCTTCACTTATTTTATATAGAGCTTTGCGATATAATTCATCTGACTTTACTTATATTACTTATAAATTATTTATTATTGTATATACTATTTCGCAATCTTGTTTGTATTAAATAATGTCTATCATTTCTATGTATGGAAAGGGCTTTTCTAAGTTTTTGAAACTTGTGCTCAATCCTTTTGATATTTGTCAATAAAATATGTTTAAACAAAAAAAAACTGATTTTGGCACCTCGGTAAAACAATTAGTCACAGTAGAGATAATAATTTCTGGGGCTCAACATAGTCGAAAAGCTAATCAATTTCTATATGTGTCACTAGGTTCCCTATGGATCACTGTCAAAGGATATGGACATCTGCCGCGCGTTGTGTGGTTGTGGTCAAGAGGGGCAAAAGAATTGGATCCAGACATTTTAGGCGGTGGGGCGTGTCCGCCAGACTAAAAAAACAGATAGCCAAAAACTAAGCTAGACTAGCTCATTTACTAACCGCATGAAACTTGTTGCAAAATGTTCAGCATATCCACATGTATAGAAAATCACCGAGTACCCCCGCCAGACGACCCTAATTGACTCACCCCAAAAGCTAAGCTAGACTAGCTCGTTTACTAACCACATCAAACTTGTTGCAAAATGTTCAACATATTCACATGTATCAAGAATCACCGATGCCAGACATTTTCAGTGGTGGGGAACACCCGCCAGACGTCCCCAATTGCCCCATCCGAAAAGCTAAGCTAGACTAGCTAATTTACTAACCGCATAAAACCTAAGCTAAATTAGTCCATTTACTGACCACACGAAACTTTTTGCAAAATGCCCAGCACATTCTCATGTATCAGGAACGACCACTGCCAGACATATTCAGTGGTGGTGTGCACTCGCAAGATGTCCCTAATCCCCCCCCCCCCGAACGAACAACGATGACAACTGAGAAAACATAGGACACAGGCTAAGTTTCTTACTTATCTAAACTCTTATGTTTAATGTTTTGACACTTTTACGTAATGATATTTTTGTACCTCCGACTGGTCCTCATCCTACAATTCATAATGATGGACTTGGCATTATAGAGAAAGACCAGACTGGACGTTATATCAACCTATTCATCAATCTGAGAGACATTCATGGCAAAGTGGACTTTGATGTTGCGTCCCATTCAGTCTGCCGAATTTACGCACAGAGCAAGTGTCGGGATGTCGATGAAGCGCGATACTATAAACGCGTGCAAATGACTGGCAAAATCAATGTGGTAATATAAATTCTTCCATGGCTATCTGTAACACAAAATAACCCTTCTTAAATAGGTTGTACTGTTTAACTAAAACCAGATGTATGTATATGGATGGTCGCTCTACAATAATATTATCATCAGTTTGTCTACATTGATTCACCGAGTGATGTATGCAAAGTTTTATTTCAGGAGAACCCACTTGAAAATGGCAAGAACATTGACTATGGCTTGCTGTCGCCATCAAGAGGATGTCTTGGACTGAAACTCCAAAGAGTCAACTACGTGACATGTTGTGGCAACGGGCTTCAGCGTCTTGTCCTGGTTATGGTTTGGCACCCACCGATTGTGGATGGAAGGTGGTTGACGATCTCCGCCAGCCAAGCAGTTTATTCTGAAAGGCAAATGCAGACATGACAGTGACAGCGATGAGACAATCATTGTAGGGAACGAATGTGGCACTGCATCTCTTGATAATTCTGATGATGAACCTTGGACAAAAGACTCCCATTCTGATTTAGAAGACATACACTAGTCTTTCACTGATACTAAGGACGTCTGACGGGGATACCCCACCACTGAAAATGTCTGGGTCTTTTCTTAGTAAAAGTATCAAAACAATAACCATAAGAGTTTAGATAAGAAAGGAACTTACCCTGTGTCCGCTATATATTCTCGGTTGTCATTGTTGTTCGTTCGGTGGAGGGGGGGGGCTATTAGGGACATCTTATGGGTGTATACCACCACGGAACATGTCTGGTAGTGATCCTTCCTGATGCATGAGCATGTGCTGAGCAGTTTGCAACAAGTTTTTTGCGGTTAGTAAATGGGCTAATTTTGGGGCGTCTGGCGGGGTTACGCCACCACCTTCTCACTGAAAATGTCTGACGGTGGTCATTGTTGATACATGTGAATATGCTGAACATTTTGCAACAAATTGCATGCGGTTACATGAGCTAGTCCAGCTTAGCTTTTGGGGTGGGGCAATTAGTGGCGTCTGGCGGGGTACCCCACCGCTGAAAATGTCTGGCAGCGGTCATTCTCGATACATTTTGATACGCTTAACATTTTGCAGCAGGTTTTACGCGGTTATTAAACGAGCTAGTCTAGCCTAGTTTTGGGTACAATTGTTTTGGTCCTTTTGACCACATCCCCCATAACGGACGTGGCAGACGTTCATATCCTGTGACAGTGACCCATAGGGAACCTAGTGACACATATAGAAATTGGTTAGCTTTTCAGTTAGGTTGAACCCCCCCCCCCCCGGGAACCTGCTCTATTTGTGTCATGTTGAGAATATGTACTGTATAACTGTTTATTGTATTCTCTGACATTAGCACATTTTCATTTTTTTTATAAATCCATACTCTATTGGGTATGGAATGGGAGTTAACGCAATATTCGGTCATTTTGCGACAAATATAAGGTAGTTATTATTTCTGTGGGTATGCATGGCAGGGGTAGGAGAATTAACCACGGAGTTTACACATTTTGTAAACAATATATAGATATGGACCATTGACAGATGACGTACTCGTACTGTCAAACATAATGTCAATTATTCTCCAATAAACAAACCCATATAATGCTGTTAACGGAAGAGAAACGAGAAGGAAATTGTCAACAAAAGTAACATTTCTCTTCACAACGATCATAATGGTTTAATCTTTTCGTACGATTTACGGATGTCACGGTGTCAGTGAAGACATTGATTTAGACATGGAAAAGGTCAACGTAGACAAACAAAAGACATAATTCAAAAATAACAAGATGACGCTAAGTTGCTGAATGAGAACACAATCAATTTCAGAGTTAAATAACTGGTCTCAAACTGCTTCTTTATATAGGTCTCAGATTAGTTATTAGTTCCTGATTTGTAGTGCGTCTATATAGAGTAATTATCTCTTCGCCCAAAGGGGGTTTGGATGGCCGAATGGTTAGCGCGTGGGCGTTGAATCATAAGGTCTGTCATAGAGTCAACTGGCGTCGTTTCGATTCCCCAGTTGTACGTGCCAATGAGTAGGGTCGCCTGTCCAACCTCGTGGGTTTTCTCCGGATCCTCCTGTTTCCCCCACTACTAAAGACCTCTATGCGCAAGCGAATTATTGAGTGGACGATAACCCCCCCTCTCTCTCTCTCTCTCTCTCTCTCTCTCTCTCTTTCTCTCTCTCTCTCTTTCTCTCTCTGGTCGACCAACATATCTTCACTAGCCTGTTCTCTAAGATCATTAGGGTCATTGTACTTTCTAACAAGACAAAAAAATGTGACGTGATGATAAAATAATTCCATGGTTTGCAGGAAAATTCGTATTTTAAAACCCTTTTCCAGAGACCGGTGCGACGGGTTCAATATTATTTGAAATTCTGATAAATTCCATGTTCATGCACGAACATGAAATTTGCAATTTATACTTGAATTACTATGATATATAAAACTGTGCTTACTTTAATAAGTAAATATTTCCCCTGCTTTCAATACATCGATATCGTATTTTAACATATCTTGACGCTTTAAATATGATGACGTTAGACCTTATTCTCACGTTAGTGTGTCGATTTTCACCAGTAAAAAACCATTTACCTCGTAACTTTGTTTGAAATTCACATGACAAAGCTGAAATAATAAATAAATATATAATTCAATGTTAATTTCATTTTAAGCATAAAAATCGAATACAAAAGAGAGAAAAACACACGTACAAGATAGACAATAATAAGTATATGGAAATGGATCTTCGGTGTCTCCAAAGAGTAGATTATGTTTAAAGAATATTGGACACTTTTGCGTAGTTAGACGTCAACGCTTTGAAATCGTTTTTAAAATAGTACCAGTATTGTATATATAATTCATTGTTTCGTTATTAACACTGCATGAATTATAGTTTTAAGGCCTGCATTTCTAATATACATCCAAAATAGAGGGCTGGGGCGAGGAAGGATTTTGTGCAATAGTTACTGACAGCTTTACTTTCTGGAAAATGTGTCGCTGTATGAGAAGAGTTATATCTAACTGTTTTGGAGTTGTGTAAATATATGGTATAAAAATTATATCCTCTTGTGTGGACATTGTCTGGATAAACGGAAAAATATGAAAGTAACTTTATAGAATACAAATCGCTTATTTAGAATGTATGTAATAGACATCCTACAAGGGGAACACATACTACCAGAATGTGACACTTGCATAGAAAATTGATAGATGGGATCACTGTCAAAAACGAGTAATAAATATCAAAAAGAAATAGCTTGATAATATTTAAACAAACTATAAAGAAAAATGCTTTGATTTTATTAAACCGCCTGTATTAATATGTTAAGTAAGTGGCGAATTGTTTACAGAAGAGTTTGACGTCAATTTGACAAGATGATGGTTGGATACAACCTGAAACTTACATTATACTATCTCTTAATGGTACAAGAAAAAATCATTTTTGCAGTGTTTTACTTCATGCCATTGGCTAATTGCTAGTGGTTCAAGATATAGTCATATATTATCATAAAATTAAAGCTAAACTGCGTTGTTTCCTTCTGTGATTCAGCATTTTGCTTTGTCAGTAGTTTATTACTCAAGTTCATTGTGATCTGTTAAAGCGGGTCGCCATTTGGATTATCATTGACCTATTAGTAAAGCGGATCAATTAAAGTGTGTAATCACGGATCCTATAATTAAAGTGTGTAATCCTGAACCTTCTAATTAAAGTGTGTAATCATGAACCTTATAATTAAATCGTGTAATCATGAACCTTATAATTAAAGTGTGTACTGTGTAACTGTGGATCTTATAATTGAAGGGGTTAAATACCTTTATAAACCCTTTTTAAAATTATCCTTGTTAATCAAAATTTAACGATATCTTAATCCGATGTAGCCTGCCAAAGTCCATTTGTATAAAAGGAAAAGTTCTGGCTTAATTTACAATATGTGAGTAATAATCAGATACAATGAACCCGATATCCAGATGACTGGATAGCTTTAAAAATTAAAAATAAAAACAGACAACAATAGACGAACTGTTTACAAATTACCTATGACAATCGCGCGTGCTATGTTTAACACTCTCTATTCGCCAGAAGAAAAGAAATAGTGGCGTTTTGGGGTTTTAGGCCGTTACGATCACTACGACTCTATGCAAAATAGCCCTATTTATTGCCTTTATATCTTTGATAAGTATACAGAAATGTTAATGAAACGCTGACCCACTGTATATACATAATTGATGACACCAAGGTATGAATGTGTCAGAAGTTAGTTTCGAAAAACCAAACATTTATTGCGTCGAGAGAGAGAGAGTTAAACTCGTATTTCCTCGTAAGCCTTTTGGTTGATGCTGATTTGTCTAAAATTCGCGACTGACAGTTAAGGAAACACATTTTGGACGTGATCACGGAGATATACTATCTTTATCTACCGGAAAGAAAAGTTGTCTGTTCTTTGATATATATGATGAACATTTTAGTACTATTTTCTTAATTAATGAATTATTTTATAATCTATTAATTAATTAATTAATTCGAATAAAACCAATTTTCACTGTAAATGCGTTTTTCATTTTTCCAATTTCTATCTTATTTTTATGATTTATAAATGATTTTTGTCGTTTAAAAAATATACATAATGTACTAGTAAATATTACATAAACATCCTTTGTTCTTAAATTAAAGAAGAAAACTATAAATAAATTGCGGTCAAGCATAACTGATCAACATTTGGCGAGCATTTTGACTGATAAAATATAGCGTTACCTGAAATGTTAAACAGGATATGAGCTAAAATTAGGACAGTGAAAACTTTGAGAATACTTGAAATCATCTGCAATAAATGAAATAAAAAAATGAACAAAACTCGAGGATTTAGAATATTATATAAGTATACCAGAAACCATATGAAACAAGCCCGAAAATAAATAGATGACATTCATTATTTACTTGCACCGAGGAAACAAATTGCTTACCATAGTTCCTGCTTAACCTGAGCAGAAAATGCTCATTATCGACCCCAGTCAAGGTATTGGTGTAATGAAACTATATACACTTAAATTGTGTCACTCATACTCAATAAATAGAGAATCTTATCTGAGATATCAAAAAAGACAAGTAGGAGATTTTATTTCTCACCCAACCCTTTCTTACGCGCACAAATGAATAAATATAATTCTTTGGTATACATTTAATTTTACTGAAACTGATTACATTATTTCTCCAGCAATATTACTGGATCCAAAAAGAAGTTCCCTTTAATAAAAGAAAAGTACTTTGAACGTTATCACACAGGCGATATCTAGTGTAGAATGTGTTATTGGGTGATAATCGAAGTTATCGTGTTTAAAAGTATTTACCAATCAAATTGTCTATTCCTGCTTAGCCTAAAGAGAAAATGAATATCATCAAACTTGGTTAAGATTTTCACCTATTGAACATCTACACCTAGTTTGAGCATTTTTCTGAAGTGCGAATTGTTTTCTCCATTTGGATAGTCCACTTCAATTAGTAATCCAGCAGCAGCATTTTGAAGCACGCATTTTAAGTTTATCGCAAGAAGACGAGTAATTCTGAGAAAATCATTACTCAAATTTGAAAGCGTTCATTATTAGGACTAGCCGAGCAATCTCAGCACGTTTGTAAAATATTTCTTAAAAAAATAACAAAAGGCACACTGTCTAATAGAGTGTTTACAAGCTTTCGATGAGAGAGAAAGTGGCCGGGTGAAAAGTCGTTACATAAAATTGAATTTGAAAAAGGTTACTAGAAATACCAGAATTGTAAACGGATATACAGGCGAATAGAAAGGACTGACGAGACCATAAAAATAATCTGTCTTTATTTTAGTGTATGGTAAAAAAAAGTTAGCTCGTTATCTGCTTCTCATGAAATGAAAACTTGGGTAATTAACTGCATGATTAAGGAACAGTAAAGATGCATTATGTAAGAGCTAAATCTGCCTATTCCATGTCTTTATTTTGGCTTCAAATGTTATATAAACGATTATTTAGCATTCAGTAACATAACAAGCCCGTAATCAACTCTCTAGATAACCGGATGGCCGAGATTTAAATGGATTAGGAGGTCCAAAAGATTAAAACAAGCGGTTTCCATGCAACATACGCCCACATTTTGCAAATGATGAACAGAGAACGAGCTAAAAAATGTTGACATAATGCGGGAAACAAAATCTGATCAAAACACAGACCCTATTTCGTTTTTCATAGTTCAAAACACTGGGATCTGGAAGAGTAATTATATAACCCGCGTTGTAGATGATGTGAAGGATTAGCCAATGAAATGGCCTGTTACGGTGAGTTCTTGGTGTGCGGTATACGGAGCTGTGGGTAAACCTCTAGAAACGTCAAATCTGATTCGTTAATCAATGTCTGACGGTATAGGGCCAAAAGCCGCTCATATGACCGCTGACGCGACCTTCCATTACAACCGGCCAGATCTTCCTTTAATGTAACCCATCGACAGTATAAAAACAACGAAACGAAAATAGATCTGTATTTGAATCAGATTGCAGAAAGCACGAATATCGAAAGGAACTGAGATCTTTTGGACATAAACACATACATATTTTGAGTTTTATCAAAATCAGATAAAAATTGTGACTCTAAGGGTCAACAGCCTTGGTATTACTATACATACTTTTACACTATTTGCATACAAGGAGTGGCCATTTTGTCGGGCAGTTTCGGATTAAAATTGTGACCTCTAGAGGGACGACAAGCTAAATATGCGATTTTGCTACAATCAGGGGCCATAATCCAAGAAGTTACGGTCCAATATGCGCGAATATCGAAAGGAACCGATATATGGGTAATAAACATACATTTCAAGTTTCATCAAAATCTGATAAAAATTGCGATTTCTAGAGGGCCCAGAACTTTGGTATTACATACTCTTACACTATTTGCGTACAAGGAGCGGCCATTTTCTCAGGCAGTTTCTGTCTGATTTTCACGAAATTTCGAACTCAACCATCATAAGGGTGTAACGGTGATATATTCGAACCTATTTTTTTTTTAAATCGGATAAATATTGTGACCTCTAGAGGGACCACGATGTAAAAACGTGATCTTTTGAACAATCATGGGCTATAATCCAGGAAGTTACGTTCCGATATGCGCGAAAATTGAAATGAACCGAGATCTTTGGGTTATAAACATACATTGCAGGTTTCATCAAAATAGGATAGAAATTGTGCCCTCTAGAGTGTCCACACGCTAAAAGCGTGATTTTTCGTACAATCAAGGGCCATAGTCTACGAAGTTGCTGTCCGATACATGCCAATATCGACAGGAATCGAGATCTTGGATAAACCTATATTTCAAGTTTCGTCAAAATCGGATGAAAATTGTGACACGTAGAATGTCCACATAAAAAATTGACGATAAAATGTACAAACGAGATTAAGCCTCGGTTGTCCAGTACCGTTGCTACGGTAATAAACAATCTGCGCTATATCTTCCAACACCTATAACTTACCTAAAAATAAAGTAATTTGAATGAAATTTTCAATATAACTGTCTTACAACGAGACAGCTGATAATATAATGCTGGTGTATTTCTGTATTTGTTTTAATTCTTTCTTTCACTCTCTTATGCAATTATACCTTATATTTTTATGTTTTTTACCTTTATTCTCTTAATCTTTGTTAATTGGTCTTTATTAATGTGATTGGTTATCGTTTAGGAATTTTGTTAATTACACTCATTACTGCAACAATGAAGGTGGGAATGAAACGCGGTTTATCGTCATATATTTCCGCATATGCCATGCAGTGTGTTAGGAAGAAAATTTTGTCGGGACAGCGACGTTTCCACCTACTCTTCCAACTGTCAAGGATTCTTTTACGTTGTATGACAGCGTGTTCACCGAAACTCGGTTTTGTATCTCAACCGAACGACAGCCCTGCATCACTGACAAGGGAAAACTCGCGATTAAAATAAAAACTCTAGGAATTTTCTGAGACATAACGACTCCCTTTTAAAAGAAAAGGGCATGGCTTAACCTAGAACATGGCCAACTATTGCCATTTTTATACACCTATCAAAACAGATGAACAAAATTTATCTAATAACATTCATGACCAATCCTATGTCACAGTTAATGGAGGTATCAATTATGTATATTATATAGTCCTGTATTAATTACGTGCTCTACTTGTAATACGTATGTATATCAACGTCTTGTTTGATTTCTTTAGTAAACAGTAAAGTGTTTCATTTTAAAGGTTCGGGAGGAGAATACCTAGTAAACATAAGCCTCTATTTGATGGTTTCTGGGACTACGATAATCCACACAAAATAAGTGGAGGGGGGGGGACATTCACAGCTGGGTTGTGCAGCAGTGGAGCCCGAATTTCAAGGCTGCATAAAGCATACTATGATTATATTGGTTCCGAGACAACGCCATCAATGTTGTTGAATTTGTTAACATTACATGATCGTGTGATAGTAAAACATAAAACTACCCCAAAAAACTAAAAATATAATGAATTAATAGATCACCATTGTTCAACATATCTGAAAAAAATCGGCAAAAGACATTATACCCGATTGGAAACTGATACACGGAATTCTTAAAATAGAAATACTAAAAAATCTGTGCCCTGCCCAAATAAAAAAATATATATATACTTAGTACTTATTAATATAATGTAAAAAAAAGAAATGGTTTGTTAAATGTGTATACTTTACCTTTACCATCTGTTACATTCCCTGATACATATAAATCACAGTGTCAAAAGCCTCCTTCACTAGGATGTCCACTGTCACAATTAATCAGTCAAAAATCGCAATTAAAACGGACACTGTAGAAAAGAAATATGTTTTTTGCTATAATTGGTCAAACCACATCCAACGCAAAAATTCCAACTTCTCATATCAGGAAAGAGAAAGATTCTAATAAATAAAACCCCCTTCTCTATCAAAGTTTAGCAGGTATATCTTTAAAGACTTTCTTAAATTATCCTTTCATTTCAAGTCTATCTATAGCGTTAATATCACATAAACTAACGTTTGAATCGTATATTTCAGGAAATGATATTTAAACTGGGTCTATTTTGATATCAGTTTCTTCGGGGTGTTAAGTATAGGAAGGAAGTCATTCGCGCATCATTATCAACATTTAACACATCGTAATATATATAGCCTGATATTATCAGTTTATTTACAGTAATGGAGACATTAATAAGCCACCTTGCTTTAATCATTTCTACTTTAAAGTGGCGAGAAAATAGGCTACTGAATTTATATGTAACCTTTTTAAAATAAATAAATGAAAAAATTCACTAGGGCAATAAAATTCGGGAAGAAAACACTAGATATTGGCAGCGACGAAGTTAGACAGGCGACCCATACAATAAGGTGACGATTCCTATATATAAGTTCATTTCTTATTCAAAATCTTTTTTTTTTCCGACGGGAATTGTTAGAAATTTTTCCATTGGTCCACCAGGCCCTCTCCCACCAACCACTGTGGAAAACTCTGGTGTCACCACTAGAGCCTTTATAATCTATCCGCATCTCACATCGCCCGTATAGGGGCTAGAAAAAAAGAGATGTGTATATGATGTGTTAGAAATGAAATGTGGTTTAACGTCCTACTGTTCTGCTCCGACTGGGGTAATGAAGACAGGTATACTCCAAACAGTGTGTTATGAGGGCAATTTTGCCCGGGAAGCGCACTATGACCTACTCGTATATCGAATTCCAACTGCCAAGGGATCTTTTACGTGCAAGCCAATGAAGACACGGGGTTTCGGTTTTTCGTCCCATCCGAACGACTAGACAGAGCTGTCCTTGCCCGGCCCTCCGTCCTGCACCACTGACAAGGGGAAACCACGTCGAAAAATACCGATCATGAACTTTCTCGGCCCATGCAGGGATCGAACACGCGAACTCCAGGCTAGTCAACTAGTAGTGTTAGTAAACATTGCTGCACATATGTTGATAACCTAATACGCGTAATTAAGTGACGTAGTTTCCAGTTTTCAAGATAATCCTGAAAGGACATGTTGGGTTGTAAGGATGATATAAATTCTATTATTAGGATAACCATTAGTCAAACCGTTGTCCTCGTCTTATTTTATAACCATGGTTAATGTTTTAAGTCATATCTCAGATGACTTTTACATTGACAGTGGCCCCATGATATTTTGACAAAATAGTTTGCTAGAATGACCAAAATGTATACAAATTAGGGTCCATTCAATTAGTAGCTTCATTTAGAAATAAATATCAAACTAGAAACATGGTTATTTTTAGAACTCCAAAGTTTATAGTTTCCACCTATTTGTCAGAAATGGATTGTGTCAAATGCCTCGGTAATCCAGGTTACTTAATAAAGTAAGATAACATGGTTTTAATTTAAATTGTAATCGTTATATTCCATTAAGATGTGGGGTTTACCTGCCAAATGACATCTCAAAATGTTGCGTCTCCGCGTCTCCATTAGTCAGAACTGCTCTCCAACCATCCATGTGTCGTGTTTAGACAAATGGAGGCCATAAACACTTATGGGGCCTCTCCCAATCCCCCAATCTCACGACGAGAGGAAGATGAATGTGTTTTTATAAGATTACAGTGTGTGTAAGAAAGGCTTATGACAGTGTCAGGAGTATTATACACCTTGGTCGGAGGGACCCTATAGCTTGTTAGAATCTCACGTGCGTGCTGTATCATAAGGCCTGTCATTGAGTCAACTGGCGTGGTTTCGAATCCCCAGTTGTACGTGACAAAGAGTAGAGTCGCCTGTCCAACCTCGTGGGTTTTCTCCGGGGCCTCCGGTTTCCTCCCACTGCTAAAGACCCCTACGCGCAATCGAATTATTGAAATAAAATTAAAACCACATGTTAGTCCCGAAATGACCTAGTTTGTGTCGAGTGGGCGTTAAACCCCATTTATTTCTCTCTCTCTCTCTCTCTTTGTTAGAATCTATTTCCCAAGACTTTTAAGTTTTATAAACCAATTAGTCTAATTAAAACTCACTCCCGGCGTATTCCCTATAAAATGCCTTTATGATATTACAAAGTCCATATCTGGTGAATAACGAACAATAAACTAGCTCGTTGTTCGTTATTGGCGAATACCGAACAACAAACTGTCTCGTTTTCGTTATTCGCCAATAACAGCTCGATGTTCGGGGTAGAAAGACAGCTTATCAGAATCTATCTCCCAATGCTTTGCTGTGTTATTAACCAATTAGGCCAAAACACCACTCCCGGCGTATTCCCTATTATATTCCCTTTATTTTATCACCTAATAATACATTCTACAGTAGATATCGCTTGTGTAATACATTTTATAATTACATGAATTTGACTGGTTAATCAAAAAGGAACTACTTATTTTATTATCAAAGAACAGTTCATTTTTTAATAAAAGTAACCTCTTTCTTATTAAAAAGGAACTATTTTTATTTAAGTGACTTTGATGGAAATACTGGGTCAATATAAAGGATTTTGCAATGGTTGAATTGCTGTCAAAACATGATGTATCACTACGCTGTAAAGTAATCAGGTTCAGTAAAAGAGAAATCTATAGCAGAGAATTATATTAATTTATTTGTGCCTGTAAGAAAGGATTGAGTGATAAATAAAATCTCCTACTCGTCTTTTTTGTCAGACATATTCCTGAAACAATGTACGAAAGCCCAGAAGCCTATTTCCAAATTCCAAATTCCAAATGCGAAATTTCAAATTCCAAATTCATGTCTTACCGATAAAATAGCAAATTGGCAGCCCCCCTCAATTAAACAAATTAGAATTTATATAAATTGTAATTTTACACAACTAATTACGTCTAGTTTACCTATCTGGGCCGGATAAATACCCGTTCCAAATTACTAGATTCCAAATTCCAAATTCCAGATTCCAAATTCCAAATCAGTTAGAGAGAGAGAGAGAGAGAGAAACGGGGTTTAACGTCCACTCGACACAAACTAGGTCATTTCGGGACTAACATATGGTTTTAATTTTATTTCAATAATTCGCTTGCGCGTAGGGGTCTTTAGCAGTGGGAGGAAACCGGAGAACCCGGAGAAAACCCACGAGGTTGGACAGGCCACCCTACTCCTTGTCACGTACAACCGGGGATTCGAAACCACGCCAGTTGACTCAACGACAGGCCGTATGATACAGCACGCACGTGCTAACCTTTTGCCCCCCCCCCCCCAATCAGTTAGTGTATAATAACAATATTCCAGTTCGGGTTTGCTTCGGTAGATGTGAACTTTTTGGGGCAAAGTTCCTCTGCAGTGAGCTACTCTACTACTCGGTATCCTAGGACTGGCATTTTTTTTTTTTTTTTTTTTTTTTTTTTTTTTTTGCTACAGCAGCAAATTTGGAATTTGGAATTTGGAATCTGGAATTTGGAATCTGGAATTTAAAATCTGGAATTTGGAATCTGGAATTTGGAATGAGCCTTCTGGGCTTTCGTACGGGGGTATGACTCTCAGATTGTTTTTGATATTTAATAAAATTGGGGTTGGTGGCCGAATGGTATGCGATCTAGATCATAGTCCATGAGCTAACAAAGATTTAATTAGCATCTCGAGTACAAAAGGTTTGAGGCCTGGAATTAGTAAATGTGTGTAATCGGGACCCCCACATACTTAAGTTATGATTTTGTGAACATCACCAGGGGACACTGTTCACATATGTCAAAATTGGTTCTGTAACACATTTCGAGTACATGATCGAAACCGTTGTCAAAATGATTCATTCACTTGAGTTGATTATTTTTTTGCTGTATATTTCTGGCAAGGTCTATGTAGTTTGTCTTGTTTGCAGGTTTATCTTGTCGGTTGGGTTCTGCGTGTAGTGCGGACCTCCTTTGCTTACTATTAGAAACCTCAATAAAAATATAAATCTTTCTGAGTACTCAGTTTTGAGGACTAACCCACTTCTGTGTAGGTCAAAGATCACATTGGTCGGCCGTCTACCTTAAATGCAAATCTCAGTACAAGCACAAAGTACATATCAAACTGTTACCTGTGACCCCAAGGGCAATATGAATCCTTCTGCGAGAGTGATCGATTTGGGGAATTAATCCGCTTCTGGGTAGGTTAAAGGTCAAATTTGTCGGCCATGCCCAATCTACCTTAAATGCAAATCTCAGTACAAGCACAGAATGCATATCAAACTGTTACTTGTGACCCCCAAGGGCAATATGAATCCTTCTGAGTGGTCAATTTTGGGAATTAACTCGCTTGTGGGTAGGTCAAATGTCGCCATTGGTCGGTCACAGGCACACAATGGATATCAAACTATTCCTGGAACCTCCTGTGGCAAAATTAATCGTTCTGATTATTCAAATGTCAATATTCGTCTGCCACGCCCAATCCACCATAAATGCATATTTCAGTACATACCTTCAGTAAAGGCACAGACTGTGTATTAAACTATTCTGTGAGACCCCCGAGGCAATAAGAATCCCTCTGGGTTGTCAATACAAGCACACAGTGGGTATGAATCTGTTCCTTGCGACTCCTTGGGGCAATATGTATGCTTCTGGGTTGGCAATTTTGGGAATTAACACACTTCTGTGTTGTTGGAAAGTCACCAATGGTCGGCCACGACCAATCCACTTTGAATGTATATCTCAGTACATATACCTTCAGTACAAGCACATAATGGGTATGAATCTGTTCCTTGCGACCCCTGGGGCAATATAAATGCTTCTGGGTAGGCAATCATGGGGATTAACCCACTTCTGAATAGGTCAAAGTTCACCATTGGTCGGCCACGCCAAATCCACCTTAAATGCATACCTCAGTACATATCTCAGAACAAGCGTAAAATGGGTAACGAACTGTTTCTTACAACCCCCTAGGTTGACATTAATCCTCACGATTAGTCAATTTTGGGGATTAGCCCACTTCTGAGTGGTGAGTGGGTCAAAGAGTATCAATGATCGACAACGCCCAATAATTGCAAGCGATTTACGGAAACTGGAATGACCTAGTTTATACCGAGTAAATGTTAAAACCTAGTTTACTGAAGGCTGATGGGTAAATGAAAAATTTAA